GTGGAGGAGAAGTGAAGAGTCAGATCCAAGAGATATTAAGAGATAAAGTCAGCTGTACTTGGTGAAAATGAAGGAGGAGTCAAGGATGGCTTCAGACTTGTGATTTGGCAGAGGGAGGTGTCAGTTCCTGAGATGAGAGGCACAAGGGGAGGGGCAGATTGTGGGGTAATTGAACAACAATATGTTCGTTCTGGGCCTGGGGTTGAGGTGCCTGTGCCATGCTCAGGTGAAGCAGAATGCATTGGGGATCTATTGCTGCACAACAAACCACCCCCAAACTTAGTGGCTTCAAATAGCAGCCATTTAGTTTGCTAATGATCATGATTCTGTGGTTCAGCAATTTGGGCTGGGCTCAGCGATGCCGTTCTTCTGTTGGTTTCACGTAGTGTCATGCATCTCCAGCTTGGAGGATGGCTCCACATGGCCTCCTTCACATGTTTGGCAGTTGGTGCTGGCTGGCAGCTAGCCCATGTGGTACCAGCAGACTAGCCCAGACTTCTTCACATGGCAGCAGAAGAGTTACCACAGTAAGGGAGGGCAAGCCCCAAGGCACGGGTGCTTTTCAAGCCTCTGCTTATATCGTGTTTACTAACGTCCTGTTGGACAAAGCAGGTCATAAGAACCAACCCAAGTGGGAGGGGCCTATACTGGAATGCATGATTCACTGGGGGCCATTACTGTGACAATCTATCTCACAGAGCCTGCTCTGGGGCTGCCAAGTTGGGGGAGCATCCTGTGCCCTGCCCTGTGGCTACCATCCCCCATACTCCTCAGAAGCAGGGACAAGAGCTACTAGAAGACAAAAGGGGCTTTGCCAGTGACATGTAAATACCCCCAAATCCTGGTACCTTCCATCTTAGCCCTGGCTGCCCCTTTGATTGGGAAAACTCTCTTTTTCTCTTCCCAGGCTGCTGCAGGGCTGAATGTGGGGTGGGAGTAGAGGCTGTGGGGAGGGGAAGGCAGCATGGGGCTCCATGGATGGTCCCAACCTGGGGCTGCAGAGGTCTTCCCAGTTAGCAGTGGGGAGCACGGTGTGGAGATCAAGCCCGGAGCCTGAGGGACAAAAGCTGGGCCTGGCTTCAGAACGGTTGGTGCTGAAGTGTCTGCAGGCCAGAGGGAGGGGCAGGGGCGGGCGGGGACACAGAGCTGGAATTGGAGCCAGGCCGGAGGAGGGGGGAACCGTCCTGCCTAACGTCATACAGCTGCTAAGTGGCAGGCATGGTTGTATAGTTCCTAGCACTTGCTGTGCACCCCGTGCTGGGCTCAGCGATGTGCATGGGCCATTGAGCTTGCTGCTCACAGCTGTCCTCTGAACAGGTGTCTGTTCCCTACCCATTTTACAGGTTAGGAAGCTGGGATGCACAGGTAGAGCCAGGCTCTGACCCTGACTCCCTGAGGCCCACACTCTTCACTCTTACGCTCTATAGCGTGTGGAGAGGCAGGATGGTGTAGTGGCTAGACCCAGACAGTCAGGATTCGGATCGCCCACCACCATTTGCTAGCTGTGTGACCAGGGCTAGTTACAGTGCCTCTCTGTGCTTCCTTTTCCCCATCTGTAAAATGGGGATAACAAATAGTACCTACTGCTTGAGGTCATTGTAGGTTAAGGCTGTAAGGCACCTAGAACAGTGCCTGGGATGTGGAGGGCACGGCATGTGTGCCTGCTGCTGCAATGATGGTAATTACTGCCTCACCTCACGCTGCTGGACTCCCAGGTTAGACTTTCCTTCTCCGAGTCCTGGGGTTTTTGTAAACTTCTCCTGAAGGCCTGCTTTAGACAGTGAAGTTCCCCTCTGGGGTCCGGTCACTGGGGCCCCCGTAGCACATCCACTGCTTATCACCCATGAACACATTAGAGTCCACTCGCTTATCAGACCCGCAGCTGATGTGGGGCGCAGCGCAGGCTCTGAGGGGTGGGGGCTGACACCAATGCAGATGCCGCGAGCTGGAACCCAGCCCTGAAGTGGAGGTCTAGATAGTGAGACGTGGGAGGAGTGGGTGTGGGCCCAGAGCCCCCGGAGCCTGGGAGAGGGCTTGGGAGAATGCAGGGCTGAGGGCAGGGGGCCGAGATCAAATGTGGGCACTGATCAGTGTGGGGTGAGTGGGCTCTGTCAACAGCTCCCAGAAAATGCCACCCTAGGTTCATCCCGCTGGCGGAAGCACAGCTTCTCCCTCCGGGACAGTGTGGGGCCTTGGGGAGGAAGGCGCTGAGCTCGTTTACCTGGCAGCTGGGGTGGCAGCTGTGCCTGATAAAGCTCCCCACCCAAGATCCTCTGACTTTGTAGTCTTTAGGGCCCCACCTCTGCCCTAATCCTGGTGATCCTCCTCTCCCCACCCACTGAACTCCTCCTTGGAATGTGCCAGAGCAGTGAGGTCCTTAGAGAGCATCAAGTCCAACTACCATGTGTTACAGATAGGGAAACTGAGGCCCAAAGAGGGCAAGGGACTTGCCCAAGTTCCCTTAGCGAGGTGAGGACAAACAAGAGCAGGAGACAGCTTAGGCTGGTGGAAGGGCACTGTACCAGGAGTTCAGAGCCTGGCTCTGCTGCTGTCATGCTGTGCGGCCCTGAGGCGGTCACAGGCTCTCTCTGGTCCCCTTCTATAAAATAAGAGGAAAATGGAAGGGTTTTCCTACTCATGGAATCTTCAATAAGTCTGGACCCTATGCGTGTAGCATTGCTGCAAAATGGCAGATGTGGGTGTTTTTTTTTTAACAGCAGTGTTTAATAAAAGATTGAATTTGAATATTTAAAGTGAGGTGTGCAGTCTCAATTGGCCGTAGGCCTCATCACTCCCCAAAATGCCCTGTACCCTTCATACACATAGTTTCCTGCTTGGCTCCTAAAGAAATCTGAGCAATCTCAAGAGGAATCCCCTATGTAAAATGTGCCCCCATTCCTAAGAGGATGCACGCAGGAGCCTGAGACTTTGCCTGCGCCTCCCTCTCCCCCAGACAGAGGAGAAGCTACATGAAGCTGAATCCTGCCAAAGCCCACTTCCCACCCACTCGTCAAGTCCCCAGATCCCATGGAGGTCCTCGGGGCTCTCCTCCATCCCGCTGTTGTCAGACTGATCTAAAACATCAACACCCAACCAAGCCCTATGTGCCAGACCCTAGGCGTGTGTGTCTTTCGATGAAAATGAATTGAAATGTAACTTGAAAGGGCTTTCTGAGACTTTGGAGGGTTCTGGAAATGAGAGCTTCCTCATTGTTATCAGAGCCAGGGCTGGAGACCAGTGGAGACCAGGTGACTTGTTATTGCTGTGATGGTGCTGATGGTGATGATGATGGTGCTGATGGTGATGATGATGATGATGATGGTGATGATGATGATGATGGTGATGATGGGGGGTGAAGAGCCACCGTTCATGGAGCATCCTCCATGTTCCAGGCACTATGCACATGAACAAAACCTTCCTTCCTTCAGACCCAAGCTCCCTCGAGGGAGGAAGACTTGCCCTTATTTCACTGATGAGGAAAGTAAGCAACCTACAAGGTCACGCAGCTGTGAAGTTAAAACATATAAATTGCCATTTCTATAGATCAGAAAGGGTCAAATATTGGCAATTTGATATGGTTTAACCTAATCGGGATTGATAGCATTGGGATCAAACAGAACTGTCTGAACTTGAAGCCCATCCTTTTTCCTTTAAAAAAAATGTTTTACTGTCTACATGCTGGTTGTACCAAATTTAAACACTGAAAATTTTTTAAAAAGTAAAATTCTCCCAAACTCGGAGATAATATCCATGGGGGAAAAATATAAAAATTCCTTCAAGATCTCTCTCCAGGCATCAATACATGTGTGAAAATGGTTGGTGTTTATTGATAAAATAGTCTTTACTATTCTGAGCGATTATGTGCCATATGCCATTTGATTCTGGCAACGGAAGAAAGGAGGCATGATTATTTTTCCCATTTAACAGATGTGGAAACTAAGAGGGCAGATAGAGTGATGGTTAAAGGCACAGGCTTGAGAGTGGACCTTCTAGGGTTAAATCCTGGCTCTACCAGCTGGAGCAGGTTCCTTCACTGGTCCGTGCCTCGGTTTTTGTACCTGTAAAATGGTGATGATAACAGCACCCACCTTGAAGAACTAAACAGGACAGTCCATGCACAGTGATTAAGCAGTGTTGGCACACAGTTAGCACATAACAAATGTAGGCTGTTATGAAAGCTCAGAGACATTTAATAACTAGATTAAGCCACACAGCTAGAAAGTGCCAGAGCTGTGATTTGAACCCAAGCTTGTCTGGTTCCAGAGCCCAAGCTGCTAACCATTTTTCAAACCCGGTCAAAGCGTCCCCCGTTTCCTTTTGCTGGACCTCGCACTGACGTTAGGTAGGTCTCTCGTGTTCACCTGCCACAGCAGGTCCTGCGCAGGGTCTGAGGCTGGGAAGGTGAGTGTCACCCAGATGGCCCTGGCGCTTTCTGCCGGCCCACCAGGTCCCTCTCAGCAGGTGGCAAAGGGAGAGAGCTGTTTTCTGCGAGGATAATTTGGTTCTTGCTGACAGAACCTCTGGGCCTGCTTCTGCCTCCTCTTTTCTACGTGACCTGGGCCAAGTCACTGGCTTCTGTGGCTTTGTTTTGTCACGTGCAGGATCAGGAGGTTGAACCTGATCCTCAATAGCAGCAGTAATTACTGAATGTCAACTATGGACTAAGGACTGGTCCTGAGGCTCTACGCTTGTTCATATCATTATGTTTAATAATACCATAATTGCTACATTTCCTGAGCACTTACTACGCACCAGGCCCTGCCTTCGTGCTTAACCAGGATTAGCACATCCGGTCCTTACCTCAACCCTGCGTGGTATATATGTGTATTCCCATTACTCAGATGAGAAAACTGAGGCTCAGAGAGGTGGAGTAACTGGACCAAGCACTCTTAAATGATCTTTAATGTCCCTTCCAACTGCCATTCAGTAAAACTCTAATTTCACACAACCTCCACCTTGTCTGCCTCTCTTCTTCCTTCTCAACATCTCTTCCCTGACAGTGTTCCAGGATGTTATCATCATGGCGGCCCTTGGCTTGGGCTTCCTCACCTCGTCTTTGCGGAGACACTGCTGGAGCAGCGTGGCCTTCAACCTCTTCATGCTGGCCTTCGGGGTGCAGTGGGCGGTCCTGCTGAATGGCTTCCTAGAGCAGCCCTCCTCTGGGGGGATAGTCATCAATCTGTACAGGTAAGTGGATAGGCCACTGGATGAATTTTGGGTCCTTGAGGGCATGGGGCCCGAGAGGACGGGCTCTAGAAGAGCTGGAATGTCCCCTTCTCTTTCCAGCATCAATGCCATGCAATACATAGGACTTATATATACTAACAAATTATTCACTGTCTATCTAAAATTCAACTTTAACTGGGCATCCTCTATTTTATCTGACACCCCCACTCCATGGCATCATAAGAGGCCCAGATCTACAGCCATCCTGGAGTCCTTTCTTTCCTTATTATTGATTATGATTTTGTAAGGTTACACAGTAAACATAGGTTCAAGGAAAAATTAATAGAGATTAGGCAAAAAGAGTTAGAAATGTCACACTCAGAGAGAGAGTCTCTTGAAAAAAAAGAAGTGCTCTCAGTCCTCAAGTGCGGGTGGACCAGAAATAGCCATGCCTTTAGTTCATTTAAATTAACTTTGATCCATTTAGATACATTTATAGGAAATTCTAAGAATAAGCAAAATTAACCCGTGTTGCTGGAAGTCAGAATAATGGTTACCTGGGGAAGGCAGTTGTTACTGATAAAAACAAAAAACCTTATGGGGTGCAGTAAATGTTCTCGATGTCATCCTGGGTGATGGTTACACAAGGGTAGATATATATAAATCCACTGAACACACACAAAAAGGCATTAGCACTTGAGAGAATCTGGGTAATATTTTTCCTTAAAAATTGTTTTTAGGTTTTATCCAACTCTAATTCTCTCTACTGCCCAAATGATGGTAAATCCCATCTTGGGCATCTTGGGGACCCCGTCGCCTCTCAAGGCCACTCTACCCTCCCCTCTGAGACCCTGCTAAGCCTCTGGGCGCTGCTGTTGAACATCTGTCCATGAGCCAGGCTCTGTGCCGGGCATTCCACAAACATTATTTGTTTAACCCTCCCAGGTAGGGGTCTAATTTATACAGGCAAGGAAATATGCTCAGAGAGCATAAGGCACTTGCCTAGGGTCACACAGTGAAGTGGTGGAAGTGGCTTCAGTTTTGATGATCTGTAACCCTTCCTGCACACTCCAGAGTGGTCATGACATGAGACACAGTCTAGCTAGCTCCCCACTGACCCTGAAAAATAACTCTCTCTTTGTGTCTTTTAAAACGTGTTAGGGGGGCCGGCCCCATGGCTGAGTGGTTAAGTTCGCACGCTGCACTTCAGCAGCCCAGGGTTTTGCCGGTTCAGATCCTGGGCGCAGACATGGCACCGCTCATCAGGCCATGCTGAGGCAGTGTCCACATGGCACTCACAACTGGGGGGCTTTGGGGAGAAGAAGAAGAAAAAAACCATGTTAGAGCTAATCCCGTGGGGATTCCATAACCCCAGTAACCCCTGGGAAGTGACAGTGGGCGCTCCGGGGAAATTCTGAGAGCAGTGGTCCTGGTCTGGCATGACCTTGTCTTAAGGTCACACAGGCCTTCAGCCTCCTGCATGTTAGTCTCCAGACATCTCTGGGCTGCTCCCTTCTTCTGACGGCCTGCCCACAGGGACCAGTTTGTTCTTGACTCAATCCAGGAAAACAAGAAGAGGCCATTTGCAGCTGGAGTCAACTCCCCTGCCCCACCCCGCCCGCTGGGACCCTCCCAGCTCTGACCTCCACTGGGACTGGCTTCATGAATTTGAACAATGGGCTCCTTCCTGACCTTTCCTGCCCAGGCTGGGCTGGTGGGCGGTGCCCAGGCTGCCTCGGAGGCAGGGCACTCTCCCCTCCCTCGGCCTCACCCGCAGCCTGACTTGGCACTGAGTTGGTTGTGCCTTGAGTCACCAATGACCGGTTCCTTCAGGGTAGGGGCCTGTGTTATTCGGCTTTGTCCTCCTTTGTTTTCCTCACATAGCAAGGACTTAGTAAATAGTTACTGGAACAAAAATGAAAATAAAGGGACCACTAAAAGGTATGATATTTTTAATGCTGTATTTGGAGAGGTCCAGGAGGACCCAACACAACAATAACCAACCCCCTTATTGTGCTTGACACATCTTTTTTTTTTTTGGAAGATTAGCCCTGAGCTAACGTCTGCTGCCAGTCCTCCTCTTTTTGCTGAGGAAGACTGGCCCTGAGCTAACATCCGTGCCCATCTTCCTCTACTTTATATGTGGGACGCCTACCACAGCATGGCTTGCCAAGTGGTGCCATGTCCGCACCCAGGATCCGAACCAGTGAACCCCGGGCTGCCGAAGCAGAACGTGCGCACTTAACCTCTGCACCACTGGGCTGGCCCCTGCTAGACATATCTTAACTCACTTTGCCCTCACAACAGCTCCATAGGCCTTGCCTTCACCTTCTAGATGAAGACGTGGAGGGACAGAGTGGTTAAGTAATTTGTCCAAGGCCACACAGCCAGGAAGTGGCTGAGTCTGGATTGCAATCTAGGCAGCCTGGCTGGAGACTACAGTCCTAACCACTACACTTCGCCATCTCAACACCTCCTCCCTGAGGTCTGAAATCCCACCGCTGGCACACATCCTCCTGAATTAGGCCTTTGCCAATTAAATGAATACTCACCCAAAAGACAGAACATGGCCAGTCCCAGTGAAACATCGAGTAGCCTCTTATTCTCAACAATTCCTGGTCCCTGTGAGACTCCGTCCCCATGCCCTTGGCCCTCCTCTGGCCTTCCCTCTGAAGTCTTTGAGCCTTAAACGGGACACTACATCGGCAGCAAACACTGGGGAGGCTGTGTCCAGACTTCAGAGCACAGGCTTTGGATCCAGGCCACCTGGGTTTGAACCTCATGTTTGTCATTAACTAGCTGTGTGGCCACTGCCAAAAAAGTCACCTCCACTAGTCTGAGTGACCTCTTCTGTAAAATGCGGGTACTGAACGGTACCTGAGCACCACTTAGAGAGGCTTACGTGGAGGATTAAAATTTGAACCAAGTGATGTAGTTGCAAGCCTCTTATACATAAGGTTCCTTCAGTTATGATCGTTATTATTGTGGTGGTAGTGGTCGTGATCATGATCATCAACTCCCAAGGGAGGAGGAGAGTCTCAGAGCAAGGTGCCCAGAGCAGGATAGGTTGGCTTAACTGATTGTCCTGCTCAGTGCCACCTCCCCCAGGAAGCCCTCCCTGATGATATGAGTGATATCACTACCTGTAGTGCACAGGTAAGTCTTAATCGACAGGCTTATGATGCCACGCCTGTCCCCCCAGCTGAATCATAAGTGCCTTGAAATCAAAAATCGCTTTCTCCTTCCGAATCCCCACACTGAGCTTGCTCATTTGTCAAGGGCAGGAAGGAATCAGTAATAGTGCTAATAATGCCAGCTTCTACTCCTGAGTTAGCATTTTGGTGCCACTCATGGTGCTAGACACACGTGCACGAAGATTCCTTCTAATCCCCCACAACACTGCCACGAGATGAGTATTATTATCATTCTTATTTAACAGATGGGGAAACAGGATCCCGAAGCTTAAATAGCTGCTCAAGTGGAAAAGCTGGGACTGGAAGCCAGGCTTGTCCCACTTCCAAACCCAGTCTCATCACTGCCACGGAGAGGCAGAGGAGATGAGGGTGGCGGCTGACTGAATGGTGGGTGGGCTGGCAGGTCAAGGGCGCCCTCTACTGAGCATCTGTGAGCGATGGAGGCGCTGAAGAGAAGTGCTGGGCAGAATCCCGGTTGTCAGATCCCAGAAGGATCTAACAGTCAGCCTCTGTAACTCACCGTGACATTCCCGTGAGAACACAGAGCATCCTCAGTACGGACGAGTGTGTGCAGATCAATCTCTCAGAGTGTAGTTGTCACCCTAGTGGGGGAAATCGACGAAGGGGACCCCGGCTGGAGAGCGTCCATCCCCACGTGGGCAGAAATCTTGTCTTCTTGTTTTCCTACTGTGTCTCCAGTTTCGTGAACGGTGCCAGGCAGAGAGTAGGTCCTCAAAAAGTGTTTGTTGAATGAGTGTATAAATGAGAGGCATCATCCCATCTCAGTCATCCCTGTCTTGCCCTCTCTCCCCAGTATTCAGCTGGCCACCATGAGTGCCATGTCTGTGCTGATCTCAGCAGGCAGCATCCTGGGGCGGGTCAACCTGGTGCAGCTGGTGGTGATGGCACTGATGGAGGTGACAGCCTTTGTCATCTTGAGGACATTCGGCAAGAAGCTCTTGTATGTGAGTCATGGAGCTGTGAGGGGAAGAGGGGTGGGGAGGTGGAAGAGGAGGGTACTGCCTCCATTTGGTGAGGATTCTGGGATTTTAAAAAATGAAGACAGACCCAAATGGCGTTACAAAAGTGTAGTCTATGCTAAACGTTTAAACATAGCAAACAAATGCCTTTCATTTTCCAAAATATGATACTTTAGGATTGTGCTACTCACAAGATAATTATGGGATGTATAAAAAAAGAATGAATTCCCAGAGCCCCACCTGCAGAGGTCCAACAAGCTGCAAGCCCAGCGATCTCTTTCAAACCAGTTAGCATGAGACAGTAACTGTACATGTGATCTCACTGGGGGAGGTTGTCAAAAGTCTAAGGCTGAGGCCAGCTGTGAAGGTGAGGCTGGTCTCCCAGCTCCTCTGCCACAGCCCTGACCCTGAGGTCAGGTATGGTCAGGTAAGATGAGGGCTGATCACAGATGAGAAAGCTGATGCACAGAGAGAGGAAGTGATTGCCCAAGATCACACAGCAAGGTAGTGGCAGAGCCTAGATGAGAATCCAGAACCAGACTGGTTTAGGAGAAACAACACTGGACTTGGAGTCGAAGGTCAGGCTTTGTATCCCAGCTCTGCCATAAATCCCCCACGAACAGCTTCAGTTTCTTCATCTGTAATACGAGGATAACATACCTACCACATAAGGTTTGGGGAGTAACTGAATTAATTAAATGAGATGATGCATTCTTTTTTTAATAAAAGCATGGGGCCTCTTTGCAATGCCTCAGTAGCCCAGAATAAAGACTTTGGATTTTACTCTGAGAAACACAGGGAGCATTGGGGAGTTTTGAGCAGAAGAGAGATATGATCTGACTTATGTTTTGGGTTTTTTTTTTTTGCTGTGGAAGATTCGTCTTGAGCTAACGTCTGTGTCAATCTTCCTCTATTTTGTATGTGGGATGCCACCACAGCATGGCTGACAAATGGTGTTGGTCTGTGCCCAGGATCCAAACCTGCAAACCTGGGCCACTGAAGTGGAGCACACTGAACCTAACCACTAGGCAATGGGGCCAGCCCCTGACTTATGTTTCTGGGCTCAGAAGAGACCGAAGAGGGCAAAAGTAGAGCAGGTGGAGACCAGAGAGGAGGCTATTGCAGCTCTCCAGGCTTGCATGGGATGGTAGCCGTGAAGGTGGTGGGAAGACTGGGTTCTGGCTGCATTTTAGAGGCAGCACTGACAGGACTTGGCGATGGAGTGCATGCGGAGTGTGAGAAAAAGAGAAGGGTCCAAAACCACTGCAAGGTTTTGAGCCGGAGCAACTGGGTAGATGACAGTTCCATCTACAGAGATGGGGAGGATTCCAGTGGGGTAGATCTGGGAGGGAAAATCCGGAGTTCAGTTCTGAGTGTGGTGGGGTTAAGGTGAGGGCTAGAGATATATATTACGCATCCCAGGCGAGACAGGGAAAGGAAACGTACAAGACTGGCACTTAGAAGACAGCTTGGGGCTAGGGATAGAAATGTTAGCATTGTTAAGATATAGATGGTGTTTAAAGCCAAGGAGATCACCTAGGAGGTGGGTGTAGACAGAGATGCGGAGAAGTCTGAGGTTGAGCCCTAGAGCACTGACCGCTGGATTTGCAAGAGGAGTTTGATAAGTGAGGTTTTGTTTTGAAGGAGGTCGGGGGCAAAAGCCTGAGCTGATTGTTTTAAGATGTGGGAGATGAGGACGTGGAGGCGGTCTGCAGAGGCAACCCTGCTAAGGAGTTTTGCTGTGAAGGGGCTCAGAGAAATGGAGGCAGAATAGGGGTCAAGGGAGACTTTGTTTGTTTGCTTCTAAGATAGATGATATTTTTATGCCGGTGAGAATAATCCAGCAGAGAGAGGGGAAACTGATGAGGCAGAAGAGACATGAACTTTGAATTGGAAAGGGGGAGTGGGATTGTGCACCCATAGGGGAGGAGCCTTAGATGGGTGCATGGACCGCTCCTCTGAATGATGGGAGGGAAGGCGGGCACTGTAGCAAGGCTGGTAGATTTGGTGCTGGGTTCTACAGGTCCAGTCTCCTGCGGGGAGAAAATTCTCTACTTATTGCTCATGTTTTCTCAGAAAAACAAAAGGCAAAGTCATTAGCTGAGTGTGAGGGGAACGGGGAGGGATGGGGGCAGGAGAGGGAAGGTGTGAGATGGACCTTTCTAAGAGTGGGAGACTGAGAGACGCAGGAGGACCGCATGGCAGCACCAGGGCCCCCTTCGGGTTTGTGGTTAGATGGAAAATGCACACGTGACCAGGGCTGTGTGCAGTTCTCCAGTCCCTTCAACTGCTCTGGGGCAGGGGTGGAAGAAGCAGAGAGTTGGACTTGACTAGCCTGTGCTTCTGCCCAAAGAGAGCCACGGAGACCAAGAGAGGCCAGAGATGGGGCTGTTTTCAAGGGAGGGAAAATAATGGTGGGTCATGGCATCTAAACTGGTTAAGGAAGGCGTGAGAACGTGGCACGGACAATGAACAGCAAAAATGGGGAGCATAGTGGTTAAGAGCCTTCTGAACAGATGCTGCAGATTTAGCGTGCGTTCAAACCTCAGCTCAACCCACCCTCACTGAGTAAGTCTGGGCAACTTAGTTAACCTTTCTGTGCCTCAGTTTTCCTATCTGTAGAATAGGGATAATAAGAACACCAACTTCCTAGGGCTATTGAGAGGATTCAACAAATTAACATATATATCTGCCTGGCACAGGGTAAGTGCTACGGCAGTTCTAACTGTTATTTCCATCATCGTTCTTATTATCAGGATCAACTGACTGGAATTGTTGGCATGAGATAGTTAAGGAGATGAGCTGGACAGATAGGCGGTGGTGATTGTTATAAGGTGGGAGGCTTGAAATTGAGATTTGGGAGGTTGCACAGTTACTGGTAATGATAAGGTCTAAGCTTTGACAGTGCATGTGGGTGGCAGAAATGTAATGTGGGAAAAGATATTAGAAGAGAGAGGGTCAAGGAACAGGGAGAGGAAGCCCTTGGTCTAAGATGATGACTCGGAGGAGTGATGGAGAGAAAGACTGTAAGGCAGGTGCTGAAATCCTCAGTGACTAAGAGGCAGGCAGACAACTGCCCCAAGGAGGGTGGAGCCTGCTGGCATCTTCTTCAAGGGAGCCGGGGATATTTGGGAGGAAAAAGGAACAGTGGTCTGGAAGGTAATATTATGACTTATTTATTAATTTTTGGTTCTTTCCATCTGTATATATGACTTTATTTTAACCCCTATACTTCAGTGTATATTTCCTATAAACAAGGTCATTCTCATACATAACCATTGTTCGGTTAACAAAATGTGGAAATGAATATTGATACAATATTATTATTATCTTATTCACATTTCACCAGCTATCCCAATGATATCCTGTTATAGCAAAAGAAAAAATCTTTCTGGTCCGGGATCATACCTTGCATTTAGTTCTCATGTCTCTGTAAACTCCTTCAATCTGTAATAGTTTGTTGGTCTTTCTTTATCTTTCATGAACTTGACACGTTTTGAAGTTACAAGCCAGTTATTCTGTAGCATGTGAGTTTGTCTGTTGTTTCCTCATGATTAGATTGAGGGTATGCATTTTTGGCAGGAAGTGATCTTGTGTCCTCATCAGTGCATCATATGAAGAGACACATGCTATCACTTTGTCCCATTACTGAAAATGTGAACTTTGATCACTTGGTTAAGATGATGTCTGCCAGGATCTCCCACTGTAGAGTTACTATTTTCCCATTTGTAGTTAGTAAACATTTTGTGGGGAGATAACATATGGTAAATATCCTGTCTCTTATCAAACTTTCACCCACTGGCTTTAGCATTCATTGAATTTTTCTGCCTGAATCAATTAGTAAGCACCATGATGGTTGACGATATTGGTTTTTTGCATTCTGCTGTGAGAAGGAGCTTTCCCTTCTCTTCCATTCATTCACTCATCTGTTTATTTATTTATATCACTATGGGCTCATGAATTCACATAGGCACACTTCCATTTTCTGCTTTTTCTCTCTGCTTACTATAAGGATTAGTTACATGTCCTTGGTTCCAAGGAAGAAAATTTCACTGGAGCTTTTTTTAGGCAGAATAACATTTTTGTATAAGGACCACCAAGGGCAGAAGATAGGGCCAGACTCAGGAAGAGACTGGAACTAGATATGAGAAGTCTTTTAAGATCCCAGGTAGTTCATTCTCTCCCAATTAGTTCGGTTCCTCTCTATACATCTAATTTCTCTGCACACCAGGTTTCTCTTTAGTGGAAAACATGTCCTCTCCCCACCCCCAATTTGTTCCTGCATTTCTGTGTCTCACTTCTTACAGAAAACCACATTCCTCTCTCAGCCAGTCTCAATTCTATAGTCTAGGAAGAGCGAATCTGATTGGTCCACTGGGTCATAAGTCTGCTCTGGTCCAATCAGCCACAGCCGACATGGGAGGCGGTGGACACAGTAAAAACGTGGCTGTCTGGAGAAAAGTAGATTCCCAGAGACGGAGCGCTCACTGTGGCAGCGCATTATAAACCTTTTCCTACGTCGTTACAGCCTTCACAACGATTGTTTTAAAAGGCTGCATTAATTCAACACCAAGTCTTCCCGCAGCTTCGATTTGCTAGTTGAGCTGGTCCGTGGGAAGATTTACAGAGCCGTTTCAGTGGAGGCAACTCAAGAAATGAGTATTCCAAGCCAACAATCCCCAAATGTGGTTCTTGCATTCCTGAGGGACCTCAAAGAGATGAAAAATGGAACCTCTCTTTTCGATTCTTCGAGGGACTTCCACAGACTTTCATTGATCTGTACACCTGAGGGTTCCTTACCGTTCATCCATTTCACAATATTTTTTCTGCACCTGTTGTGTATGGGGCACTCTTCCAGACAATGGAAAAATATAACTGTCGTGGAATTTCCATTCTAGAGGGAAAGACTGCCAATAAATAATAAAATAGGCAAAGATAGAGCATGTTAGCAATAACTACATACTATGGAGAAGAAATAGAACGGGGAAAGGAGACCTGAAAAGTTGGGGAGCGGGAAGCAAATGTTAGATAGAGTGGTCAGCGAAGGCTTCACCGAGTAAATACTTTTTGAGAAAAGACATAAAGGTAGCGAGTGCACCAGCCACACGGGTATCTGAGCAAAGTGGCAGACCAAGGGCAGGCGGTGGGAGTGGCCTGCCTCTTCCGGGAGCAGCATTTTATCACTGTTTAGGACTGTTGGTACATGGTGATAGGAAAAAGCAGACAGACTTTTAGTTGCTTTTATTATTGTTTTAAATTCTCTACAAGCAATGCACTCCCTTATTGCCTGCACCCACATGGACCACTCCCTCCACCCTGCATTCCAGGCAGCAGAACAGCCATTGCCAAGTGCGACTGATGTGGGAGCATGCCTGGGGAGTTGAGGAAGAGCAAGGACAGTGTGTTAGGGGGAGGCTAGGGGAAGAGCAGATCACACAGGGTCCTGTAAGTCATAGCAAGAAGGCTGACTTTTTTTTTTTTGAGGAAGATTGGCTCAGCTAACATCTGTGCCTGTCTTCCTCTATTTTTTTATATGTGGGATGCCTGTCACAGCATGGCTTGATGAGCAGTGTGTAGGTCCGCACCTGGGATCCGAACCAGCAGACCCCTGGCTGCCAAAGTAGAGTGTGCGAACTTACCTGCTACTCCACCGGGCTGGCCCCAGAAGGCTGACTTTGACATTGAATGAGACAAGAGCGTTGGATGTGAGCAGAGATGTGCCATGAGCTGACGTCGATTTTAACAGGGTCACTCTGGCCACTGCGTGGAGAATAGTCAGTAGGGGACAAGGGTGGAACTGAGGAGACCAGTTGGAAGGTTATTGCCATAATCCAGGGGAGCTGTGATGGTGGCCTAAACCAAGGTGGGGTCAATGAGGTGTGGCGGGAAAAATTCTGCCAATTCGGGATATTTTTTGAAGGCACAGTTGACATGACTCACCGATAGCCCACTAAGTCAGTTATTAAGGGTTTCTAAATTTGCTATTCCTAAAGCAAAGTTAGGGTCGGCTTTAGCTCCAGCAGTTACTTTGCAGTCTCGGAAACTGCTTCTGTAAAGCAAAATTAGCATATATCCAGAATTTACTAAAGACTTTAGTTCAGTGTTATAAGAAGTCTGGCTGCTTCATGTTATAAAGTTTATATTACTCATTACTCCATGAGTTTCTGCCCAAAAGTAGGGTGTGTGTCCGTGTGGCCTTTTGCCCCACCCACGTGGAGCTCGGCCAAAAGCATTTAAGAGCCAGTCATAAGGCCACCCAGCAACCTCCCTGGAGTAAACAGATGCGGCTCCTATGAAAGGGGGACCTGCTGGGCTGGATAAGCCCGGAACACCAGTCTCGTGACTTTGTCACACCTCCTGCCTAAAGCTCAGGACTTTCTCCATGGGGTCTGCCCGGGGGCAGAGGGGCCGCCACTTACTGGTCCTGCTGGGTTTTGTTGCAGATGGACGACCACATAAGCCTGATGTACATCCATGTGTTTGCAGCCTATTTTGGGCAGATGGTGGACTGGTGCCTCTCAAAGCCTCTGCCGGAGGAAGTGAAGGAGAAAGTTCAGATGGCAACAGGCCCCGGTTTGTTTGCCATGCTCGGTAAGGATAAGCTGGGGTGGGTGGTCTCATCCCTGGGGTGAGCCACAGCTCTGGGGGAAAATCTCTCTCCTTTAGCGACCTGTTCTGGGTGTCTGGAGCCCCTCCTGAGCTCATTCCTCAGGGAGTGTTGGGTGAGTCCACCCCTTCGAGTGAAGCACTATCCTCTAGAGAAGTTCTTCATTAATATCCAAAGGAGAGGAGACGCTCGTTACACTGGAGTTTGAATAAGTTTATCCAATCCTTTGTCCTCAACTTAAAGGAGGGGATTGGATGAGTGAAGAAAGGCGGGTCCAGGAGTGGAGGAAGGAACAGGATGGGAACAGAAGGGTAATAATGTTGTATTTTGAAAAGCTGCAGTGAAAATGCTGAACTCAGACTGCTGGGAGACGCTTGGAGGGAATCAGGTGGTGAGCTGGTCAGCGTGGCTGAATGTCAGGCCATAGGCTAAATGACAGTGGCATGTCAACTTTTTTAAATGAGTATTTGGCCATCATGGACTGGGGTCAGGAGGCCTGGGGTGTGGTGATTTCAACTATCTGTAAAGTATGTCAGCTGGGTCCTGCCAACTTGAGAATTCAGAGAGGAGACCTGATGGGCCCAGAGCCACAAAGCTAGAAAGTGACAGAGCTGAGGCTTGCCAGCTCAGGGATGCTCCAGTCTGAAGGCCCCAGAGGCTCAGGCTCGGAGCAGGAGTGCTGGTTCCCACCAACGACCCTCTCTGGTCCCCAGGCACCCTCTGCTTGTGGATCTTCTGGCCGAGTTTCAACTCTGCTCTGCTAGATGTGACAGACGAAAGGAAGAACGCCTTGTTCAACACCCACTATGCTCTTGCGGTCAGTGCGGTGACAGCCATCTCGGTGTCGGCCTTGTCTAACCCCGGAGGGAAGATCAACCTGGTGAGGAGGGGGCAGCACTTGGGTCTTCTAGGCCAGACACTCATATTCATGCTTCCTCCCCGCTGGTGGCCAGCCCCACGGGTTGGGAAAGAGCATGTGAGGTGATGGAACCCCCTCTGCAATGTCATGGAGCATAAGGAAGAGCGCTGGGTTCTCACAATGGGCATTGGAATGTGGGAGACTGAAGCGATCAGATCCTCTCTGCCGGGAGTGATTGAGTCCATGGACATCCATTGACATCAAATAGACCCAAGTTTGTGCCCCATTTCTGCTAGTTATGAAAGCAGCTACCATGAGCAAGCGTCAGCAGAGAAAAACTAGAATAGAATTAGTCAGCCTCTCCCCTTCCCCCAAGAAACTCAAGAATGGAATGGTCAGAAGTAAAAAAAGTATGTTACGCCAGCCGTGTGACCTTGGTCAAGCCACCTAAACTCTCTAGCCTCCTGTGTAAAGTAGGATTCAGAGGCAGTGCACGTAAAGTGCTCCGTGTGGAGTGAATGCTCGGCGAACATTAGATGCTGCTGTCACTGTAGCTAGGGGACCGTGTGTGAGTTTTGGGGGAAAGTTGGGGGAGAGGGTAGAGCTAAAGACAAAACAAGGCCCCACGATGACCAGGGCGTAGGCTCAGCTAGCCAGAGGTGGTGGGAAAAGTCTAGACAGTGAGGCCTGGAGTAGAGAGAAGGTGGCCACGGATGACAAGTTAAAGGCATTAAGGGGAGGTGGGTGTCCCCACAGGTGAGTTCCATGGTGATGGGGAGACAAGGGTCAGACAAGGTGTGGCATCCAGGGAGGCAGGGGGCGTCATCAGGTCAGGGAAGCCCAGAAGCTGCTCCTGGAGCCCAGAGCTCCAAGACCCGGTTAGAGTTGAGAGGGGCAGGGCGAAGTAGCTGAAAGGCTCAGTTCTGGAGGAATGAAGGACATAGTAGAGACAGGACCTAGGAACAAGGGCCAGTCATACAGCGTGGCCTAGGCCCCAGGTAGCCAATAATAATAAAAATAATAAAGGCTTACATTTATTGGGCACTTACTCATATTCTGTGCCAGGCACTGGGCTACGGGTTTCATAGGTGTTAACTCATTTAATTCTTGCAGTAACCTGTATTAAGTGGGTATTATCAAAACCCCATTCTTCTGGTGGGAAGGTTGGAGCACTGAGTGGTTAAGCGCCCAAGGACACATCACTTACGAGTGTGAAGGTGGCTGGGGTGAAGCTGCGCTTTCAAGCTGATTCCCTAAATGCCTCCCAGTCAGGGTGACTGGTTCCTGAGCTGAGAAGCGGGGTGAGATAAGACCAGTGATAAAGGTCACGTAGTCTCAACAGAGGGGTGGAGACAGTTTCAGGATCAGTGAGGCAGGCAGGACATTACAGTATTGCTTTGCTCCAGCTTGCTGAGTAACTTTGGGCAAGAAGCTGTCTTCTCTGTGCCTTCTTCCATTCACCCACAAGCTATTTCTTTGCAGATTCATATCCACAATGCAGTGCTGGCAGGAGGTGTGGCTGTGGGTCCCTCGTGTCACCTGATCCCTTCTCCTTGGCTTGCCATGGTGCTGGGCCTTATAGCTGGACTGATCTCCATTGGGGGAGCCAAATGCCCGCAGGTAAGGAGCTGGGCAATGGATCCCCTCTGCTTTGGCTTAGACCAGCAGGACCCTGAGACCATGGTGGGCCATCGTGTGGTGTCATGGCTGCATTGGGCAGGTTTTGGCACCTCCTCAGATTGGCTTCAAAGGTTGGCTGAGGGACCAGCCAGGCTGGATGGTGCCTTTGTTAGGATCTGGGGAGCAGGTAACAGAACCCACTCAAGCTTGCTCAGGCATAAGGGGGAACTTGGAATAAGGCTACTGGGGTGTCACAGAACCCAAGGACAGTGATGCTGCTGGGAACTCAGGAATGGCTGGCATCAGGCACGGGGGGTGTTGTGGGAGCCCAAGAAGTCCCTGCTCTTCTTTCTTTGCTTTTCCCAAACATCTGCTTTATCCTCACCCTGTAGACTTCCTCTTTTCCTGCTCCTGCTCCTCCCGGTGGACCGTAGTCTCTCTCTTCAAGAAAGCAGCCAGGTAGAATCTCTTGGCTCCAATTCCAAGTTCTCTGGAGAAGGGGCTCACTAGTCTAACGTGGATAATGTGCCTATCTTTGGCTGTGGTGGGAGGTGGGGCACGTCGTCCATACATGGCTGCTGCCCATGAACCATGTGAAGGGGGGCGAGAAGGGCAGCCCCCAGAAAAAGGAGGCTTGGCTGAGAATCCAGATCATGTCCAATTCTAATCATTTAATTATTCTTCTAAGTGGATGGATTTTTCTTCCTTCAACATTCAATAGGTACCGATAACACCATAATACTGAATTATAGCCAATTTGTTATAACACACTTCTAAGAGAAATATTTCAGAAGAACAAATCTTTCTGGGTTTGAAGGCTTGATGGAGGAAAAAGGAGTAGACTTTTGGGTGGCTCAAGAAGCTGAATTTGGATGAACAGTGGAATTCAGAGAGGCAGGTTCAACCTAAAATAAAGAAGAACTGCCCACCAGCTCGATTTGACCAAAGATGGGGCAGTGTGCCTTTCATCTTTGGAATGGGAACAAGTGTCTTTTGTTTCCTCCGACTTTGAGGCCCTCTGATGAAAGGAGGAAGGGCACAGCAAAAAATGCATGACGAGTTGTCATCAGGCTCAGCCTCCATCGCTTTCTCTGCACCTCCGTTTCTTTGACTCTATCCTGGGGGGATGTTTCAAAGATGATTCATTCATTCATTCACCACATATGGTTTAACACTCATCCTGCTTCCCAAGCTATAGTGTAGTGAGAGAAATGGACAAATAAACACAACTCAGTGTGATAATAGCTATAGGAGCCCATGTAAGCTAGCCTGAGGTGGGTCAGGAAACGCTTCCCAGAGCAGAGGATGTCCCAGCCGAGCGTTGACAGATAACTAATATTAGCCAGGCAAAGAGTTGGGAAATGTAGCCCAGGTAGAAGGAAGCGTGTGTTCAATGGTGAGAAAAAGCGTATGGCCCAGCCAGGAAATCGAAAGACATTTCTGTGGCTGAAGAAGAGGACTCACTTGGTAGGAGGTGGGACCAGAACCTTGAAAGATGGAAGTGCTCAGGTATATCTCCTGGGCTAGTTGAGGAGTCTGGGTTTTTGTTCTGAAGACAGTGGGGATTCTAAGCGGGGAACTAGCCTGATCGAATCTGCCTGTGTAGCCACATCTGTTGGCTCAAGGCCAGCTGGGAGGCGAAGTGGTCAGGCGGAAGCGGCACTGAACGGGAGTCTGGAGATGTGGTCATATTCCTTTCTTCTGACTTTTCTTCTAATCAGCCGTGTTGTCTTTGAGATGGCATGAGTTGAGTTTAGGCTAGACCAGTGGGTCTCAATCACCCCCCAGGGACATCTGGAGACATTTTTGGTTGACACAATGGGGAGGGGTGCCACTGGCACCGAGAGGGTACAGGCCAAGGATGCTGTTACACATCCTACAATGCATAGGCAGCCCCTCTCACGACACAGAATTATCCAGCCCCAAATGGGCTAGACCCTTGCTATTCAAATGGACCAGCAGCATTGGCATTGCCTGGGACTTGGTTAGAAATGCAGAATTGCAGGCCCCAGAACCCCTACATCTGACTCTGCATTTTAACAAGCTCCCCAGGTGACGAGAGTGCACATTCAGGTGTGTGAAGCACTTTTTTAGGTGAGCCGAATGCCCATCCCCTTAGCGGCCCTGGATGCCAAGGAGCTGTGAAAAGTGTGGGGCTGGAGTATCGGTCTCACATGGAGATCTGCTTATACTGCTGTGTTTGTCCCCAGGTGTGTTTACACCACCAGCTGGGGATCCACGACAGCTGCGGCGTGCAGTATACCTTCGGCTGGCCCGGTCTGCTCGGAGGCGTCGCCTACATCGTGCAGATGGTGCTTCGGGTCGACTGGACCAGGAATCCCATGTGGGTCACTTGGTTAACCCCCTTAACACCCCCATCCAATTCAGGAAGAAATGTGCCCAGAGCCCTTAGCTGGAGCGTCAGGTACTCAGCAGGCCTCAGGGAATATTTGTTGGCCGATTTATCCAGAAATTCTGCCCAGCCTCCACCTGTTATGGAGTCATCACCTCTCCAGGCCACTTCTTTTAGAAAAGGGAAGCTTAGGGGCAGGACACAAGCAGGCAGTCCCCAGGTCCCCCAATTGCGGACAGAGCAAATCAGTCAGGCCCACGCTGGCTGAGTCCGTTTTTCAACCCCTGGTGGTTTAGGTCATGGTAAAGAGTGTGCCATGGAGTCAGACTGGTCTTGACCTCTTACTGGCTGGGCACGCTACCTAATCTCTCTGAGCCTCAGCCTCCTGATTCTAAGTGAAGATAATGATAGTACCTCCCCGCATCGGGTCCTTGGAAGCTACTTGAGGCCAGGCGCTGTGTGGTTAAGAGGATTTAATATGTTCATGTAGGAAGATGCTAAGCACGGTCCATCCCTGAGGCCAGAGAGGAAAGGGGCTTGGCCGAGGTCTCGCTGTGAGGTGGGAACGTGGGCCTCTGGACCAGTCAGGTCCTGTGCCCTCCAGACAGTTATCAGCAGTGACTGGTTTGATGCACCAGAGCCCTGGGTGTCACCTCTTGGGGGTTGTGTGAATGTCTTCTGCATCTGGCTCACATACGATGAAAGAGTGACTTGGGCACAATACAGGGATGGGTTTTTCCAGATGAACTAATATAGTGATAATAATATCACCGATGATAATCACTACTGTTTATTGACGGCCTTCTAAGTGCCAGGCTACAATCACTACATGCATCGTCTCATGGAACCCTCACAAATGGCCTATTGTTATCCTACTCTAAGAAAGGGGGAGTTGTCTGCCCAAGGTCACTTGGCTGGAACCTGGTTGGAAGGGTGGTGAGCGCCTGCAGTGGGTGATGAGGAGCTCATCATGTTGGGAGGTATCTCAGAGAAATCATTGTGGGCTGGAGCCTTTAGAGCTCCGACAAGAGAGATGACCATAGCCCTGAATTATAGGAATCATATATGGGTGGGTGAGACATCCTTCCTTGAGGGGCTTGGGATGAAGAGGATCTCACTCGGGGGTGGGGTGGTTACGGTCTGTGTGACGTGAGGCATGTCAGTGATGGGCTCCAGTGCTGTGTCTGCCACTGTTCTAATGGCGGTTCGATTCTTAGCAACTCTTTTCCTCTCTCTGGGCCCCTGAGTCTCCCTCTGTAAAATGAGGGTTGTTCCAGCAGGGTCCCAAGCCCAGATGCTGTAGGGGCCAGGCAGGTAAGGGAGAAAATGAGACCAGCGAAGGGAGGCTGAGAAACCGTGGGCAGTTGCTCTCCAGCACCAGGCAACTCTTACTGTGCAGGGACCCAGGCTCAGTGTCACCAGACCTAATGACTTTTCAAGAGAAGCCAGAAATTGAGAGTTGTGCATGTACTCTCCCAAGCATTGGCAAAAGATTCAAAATCATTAGAAACATTGTGTGGGCCAGATTCTGCTCATGGGCTGCCACCCTGTAACTTCTGGACCACCGACCCTGCTGGCTCCCAAATTCTGTGATTCTGCGGCTCTCCTGGAGCAGTGGTTCTCAACAGCATCAGCATCACCTGGGAGCTTGTTAGAAATGCAAATCCTACCCTACCCAAGACCTACTCAATTAGAAATCCGGGGGTGGGCCCAGCGGTCTGTGTTTTAACAAGCTCTCTAGGTGATTCTCATGCATGCTAGAGTTTGAGAACTACTGGCCTGGAGGGAAAAAAAGTCAGGCAGCCAATGATGTGCTGCTAAAGGCTTAACCACTGGCTCTCCAGGAAAACAAAGTCCTGACTTAGAGCATTTGCTGATTTCTCTGGTGCAAATGCTCCCACCCTGGCCGATTTCAAGCATCAAATCAACATTACTGAACGTGGAGTTGGGAAGAGAGGAGAACAACCGGTCTGCAAGCCCGTGTGAGCTGGCTCCAGCAAACCTCTGCAAGTCCATGCTCGTCAGGATGAGACAGCCGAGGACCAGGAAAGAGCCCTCTCTCCTCTGCAGGAACCTGGCAAAGGGACGGACGTAGTAACAGAGATGATCTCTCTCCGGGAGGCCTTTGGTCTAGTGGAAGTAAAGGGACAGGCTTCAGAACAGACAGACCAAGGTCACGTTTACCAGTCGTGTGACCTTAGGTGTGACATTCAGACTCTCTTTAAGTCTCAGTTTCCTGTCTGTAAATGGGATAATAAGATCTATGTCCCAGGGCTGCTGTGAAGATGCAACAACGTATAGTAATTAAAGGGCTCAGGACAGTGCTTGGCATGGAGCCAACATTGAACCCATGGCCGCTTTCTTAATGACGGTGATGGAAGCTGCTGCTTCCATAGGAGAGGCATCATATGTAGTGGAAAGACGAGAAAGGACTGAGCTGGCAGTCAGAACACTTCATGTGGCGTGTGGATCGGCTCCTTTATTAGCTCGGTGTCACTGGGCAAGCCAGTTGACTTTTCATTCATTCCCCAAACGGTATTTGCCAATTTCCTATGCAGGTGAGCAAATGTGAATGAGTCAGATGCTGTGCTCAGAGCCGGGATGGAGCATTTTTCACAAATTGTGGGATTTTAGGTGGTGCGAAGACACACTTAAAGAACACTGACTCATGTAGTGCAGATGCTCTTTTTCAGTTCTCATTCAATCCTTTGATGGCGTCAGGGACAGAGTCTCCACTGGGTGCTGAGTGTCTCTGCACCCTTCTGACCCCTGCTGGCTTCCGGTTTGGACGACAGCAGAGGAAACCTCAGGCCGAGAGATTTTAGCAACATTCTGTTTTCTTTTTCTTCTTCTTTTTTTTTTTTGAGGAAGATTAGCCCTGAGCTAACTACTGCCAGTCCTCCTCTTTTTTGCTGAGGAAGCCTGGCCCTGAGCTAACATCTGTGCCCATCTTCCTCTACTTTATATGTGGGACACCTACCACAGCATGGCATACCAAGCTGTGCCATGTCCACACCTGGGATCCGAACCTGTGAACTTAACCGCTGCACCATGGGGCTGGCCCCGCAGCATTTTGTTTTCATTGTATCTCTTTTTACTGTGACTTCCCATTTCGCTCCCATTTACACTAGTGACACAAAGTTTTCTTTTAAATACATTTATTTAAATATAAAAAAGTCTATTTAAAGGAAAATATTAAAAAAAAAATAGTATCCCTGGAATGCCAATATGGGTAAATTTGTGAAGGTCCCCTCAAGTGCTGAAACTTGGGAAAGACCTGGCCAGCCTCTGCGGGCAGACACATCTGCCTGGGTTGAATCCCAAGAGCCACCCATTCCAAGCCATGTGACGCTGGAACCCTTGGTTCACATTCCTAACCTGGACCGCCCATTTGTGAAAAGGGGACACTAACAGCTTGCTCACAGGGCTGCTGTGAGGATCTTGTGAAATCAGATGGGAAAGCATCAGCCGAGGGCCTGGCACGGGGGCCCCACCCTGGATGGGACTGTTACTGTGGCCATTTCTGCTTTCACACTGCTTCAGGACAGAGTGAATCGTGGGTGGGTGGTCAGCAGATTTGGGTTTAGCTTCTATTCTGCCACTTAATATTGCCTTTATAAGAACTTTTTTGGTAGTATAATCTACATCCAGGAAAGTGCAAATATCATAAGGGTACCACTTGGTGAATTTTCTGACACGCATGTAACCAGCAGCCAGAACTCCTCCGTGTCCCATCCCAAGGGGACCACTCACCTGACTTGCGACAGCATCGCCACTGTTGCCTGCCTTTGTCCTTTCTATGTGTGGAGTCGTACGGGAATTCTGTGCTCCTAGGTGTCTGGCTTCTTTTACTCAACACTGTGGTTGTGACATTCACCCATCTTGCTGACTCTCTCTATCGATTGTTCATTTCCATTGGGGTGCAGTGTTGACTTGTGCTCAGGTTTAGTTTATAAAGGTGACTGAGTGATGACACGGAGAGGTCAGTGTCATCGACAGGAGAGTTAACGTTACTCACAGTTCCCCTGGAAATGCGAGACACAGCACCCACACAAGGTCACACACAAAACCTTAGCACACGCAGGGACCGCGCAGCAGAGAGTGGGGAACTGAGACCATGCTTTAGGACTGTAGTGGAGGGGCGTAACGAGGTGGGGACGTCTTCTATTGGTCAGAATGTGAAAATTCATATGATAGAATTTGTGGTTGTGGGAGTTGTAAGATGAGTTTTGTGCTTCCACGAAAACTGACTTGCAAGAGAGAGAGGTAAACAGCTTTGGCCCTTAGTTTGGCCCTGTGATAAATGAGTGCCAGGTAGACAAACACAGAACCTAAGAAAACACAGTTAAAATAAGTGTTTCAGGGGCCAGCCTGGTGGCATAGTGGTTAAGTTCACATGCTCCACTTCTGTGGCCTGGGGTTCACAGGTTTGGATTCTGGGCGCGGACCTACACCACTCATCAAGCCATGCTGTGGCGGCGTCCCACATACAAAATAGAAGAAGATTGGCACAGATGTTAGCTCAGCAACAATCTTCCTCATCAAAAAAAAAAAAAAAAAGTGTTGCATTGTTTGAATACAGCACAATTTATCCATTATTGATGAGAATTTGGGTACTTTCCAGTGCAGAGTTGTTATGAACATTCTAGCATTGCTGCTATAAATACTAGCACTTTCTTTTGGACACACAAATGCACTCCTGTTGAGTATATGCCTACAAGTGGAATTGTCGGATCATACCGTATTCATACAGTCTGCTTTAGTGGGCACCAGCTTCCATGGTGGTTTGCGCCAATATAATCACCAGTAGTGCCTAAGAATTCTCTTTATCCCCCATAGTAGCTAATGCTCTATATTTTCCTTCTTTTTGATTTTATCCATTTAGGCATCAAACTGATCTTAATTTTAATTTCCCTGGTGACTAATTAAGTGGAGTACTTTTCACATGCTTTTTGGACATTTGAATATCTTCTCTTGTGAAATGTCAGTTCATGTTATTTTGCCCATTTTTCTATTGGGTTGTTCTGCCTTTTTCTTATTGATTTGTAAGAATTCTTTATATATTCTGGATATAGATCCTTTGTCAGATACACGTATTGTGAATATCTTCTCCCACTTTCTGGGTCGTCTTTCACTTTCTTAATGGTGTCTTTTGATGAACAGAAGTTCTTAATTTTAATATAGTCCAATTTCTTATTGTTCTCTTTCTGTTTAGGTCTTGTGTGTCCTGTTTAAGAAAACTTTGCCTAGTACAAGGTCATGTGGCTGGCCTCCCAGGGCCCCTTAGTTGTTTACAGTGCGGTCCTGGGGTTGCCTTGAGGTGGGGGGCAGAGAAGTATGTTCGGCGGGGTGGGCAGGAGAGTTGAGTCTGATAGCCACGCCGTACCCCCCTCGCCCTGACAGAAACAAAACCTTCATCTCTAATGGCCCGATGAGGAAGCTTGGGGCTCTGAGATGTTCCGTGACTTGCCCCGGGTCACGTAGCTGGTGACAGCACTGGGATTTGAACTTGGGTTTTCTGACTCCTGGTCTAGTTCATTATCCACAGGATCCGAGGATTAAAGTAGCCCAAGAGGGTCTGGGAACATGCCGCCCTCACCCCCACCTCCCGCCCCTCCTGCATGTCTGCCTGGCTTTGTGGGAACATGACGGGAATTTACCGCCCGGGGAGAAGACACTCCTTCTCCTGATGGCCCTTCCTGACAGCATTACTACTGATATAAACATCCTCTTTGACGCCGCCTGAAGGTGACCCTCTCTGCCCTGTCATTTCTAGGACCGACCAGCAGGTGCTCATTTACGTGGGGATGCTGGCCTGGGTCGTGGCTATCGGCATGCTGTCTGGTCTCCTGACAGGTCAGTGTGAGAGCACCCTTCTGCCGCTGCCCGGGGCGCAGGGTCCGGGTCCAGGGTGCACCTACCCCGTGGCCGGATGTGTCTGTGCCCATCTGAACTGACCCCTCAGCTCCAGCCAGAGGGAGCACAGGGCCTGGAGCTGGATTAGGAAACAAACACAGGGTCACAGCGTTTCAGAATGGACAGGCCCTCCGAGGCCACCTGCTGCAGCCGCGGACTCTGAGGGCCAGGGAAGGAAGAGGCTGTCCTGAAGTTACAAGTAGGGGTGACTGGTGACATTGCAGCCTCTTGAGCCCAGGGCTGGAGAGTTCACCCAGTTTTGTACAGAACGTTAAGGAAACTCTTATGCCAAAAGGTTCACCTTTTATTCCCTGGGGACGCCGGTACTGTTACTCTGTTCAGTTAAGTATTTATTCAACATCTAGGATGAGCTGGGCACTAGTCTCAGGCACCAGGGCCACAGCGGTGAACAAACGAATTCCTTGACTTGACGGAGCTGATAGTCCAGCTGGGGAGGTGGGTTTGACAATTAATCAATCAATCAATATTTACTATGTCAGATGGTGCTAAGTGCTATGAAGAGAAATAAATCAGGTGGGGGAAGATAGAGACTGTGTGAGGCTGGGGTGCTCTTTTAGGAGGGAAGGCCTATCTAATAAGTTGACCTTTAAGCAGAAACTTGAATGGAGAAAAGAAGGGAGACAAACCACATGTTTATTTGGGAGAAGAGCATTCCATGAAAAGGGACAGCAAGTGCAAAGGCCCTGAGGCAGGAGCATGCTTTGCAAAGTTTGGGGAACAGCATGGAAGTCAGTGTAGCTGATGTGGACGGAGTGAGGGGGAAGAGTGGCAGGGGTGGAGGACAGAGTGGTAACAAGGAGCCAGATAATTCTGAGAGATGGGAAGCCATTGGAGACCTTTAAACAGAGGACTGAAGTATGTTTTTGCTCCTACAATATGACAAAACAGCAAAGAATCTTGGAGAGTTACTCATTTGCCATCTTCTATATGCTAGGTGAAATATCCATTCTGTGCAGAATTTTTCATTTTTATTCTACAAGCAAACAGCTTTTATTGGTTAGACACTCATATTTTCTGTCCCTAAGTGGGGAGTGAGTGCAAAATAAGAGACAAAACGACATAAGCAGACACTAAAGAGTTGTGTGACCTTGGGTACGTCACTTTACTCGCTCTGGGCCTTTTTCTCTGTAAAATGAAAAGATCTAATCATTTGGCTTCCTTTCAGCTCTAAAACAGGCACGAAGGCACTTTCTGGAGTTACTGGGTCACATTAGAGAGTGAGATCAGCTAGATTCACTTTAATGTGCTGATGGGCCTCAGCTTTTGACAGTCTGAGTATTAATGAAATACAGATGGGAAAATGCTCCCTCCCCAGGTTTACATTCTGTCCACCCATGCTGGCCGTCCCACCCTGGGTAAGGCTGCTTGATTGAGCAAGTGAAATACAAGGCGCCCAGTGTTTGAATTCAAAATTAACTGAGCATCCTGGATTTTATCTGGCAGTCCTGCACCTGGGCTCTCACACCATTTGCTATTGTCACTGCTCCTGACAAAGTGACACTGACTTGCACTGCCTTGTAAAGCACCTGGGAGGGCTTTTCTTATGCTTTGCTGGAGTCAAAAAAAGAGAACAGAGGCAAAGACACCTATATTATTCCTTTAAGAGTTCAGGCTAATGAGCTTTTGTCTTTACATGTTGCTTTGGACACGAGGGAACTGCTGATTAACAAGAACGTGCAGGGGCCGGCCTGGTGGCATAGTAATTAATTTCACATGCTCCGCTTTGGTGGCCCAGGATTCGTGGGTTCAGATTCTGGGTGTGGACCTACACACCACTCATCAAGCCATGCTGTGGTGGCATCCCACATACAAAGTGGAGGAAGATTGGCACAGATGTTAGCTCAGTGACAATCTTCCTCAAGCAAAAAGAGGAGGATTAGCAACAGATGTTAGCTCAGGACCATTCTTCCTCACCAAAAAAAAAAAAAAAAAAAGAACTTGCACAGTGGAAGGGGAAAGAGTTCCCCAAGCAGCCAAGATAGCACTAAATTGACTTCCAAAAGCTGAGCGTTTTACTCATTAAGAGACCCCGTTATTTGGAGCCTGTCTATACTTATTTAAGAAACAATCCTATCAAGGATGGTTATTGGGTTTCCCAGTTCAGGCAGATTAGAAATAGCAGAGTTGAGGTGGGATAGCTTTCTAGAGTAAGGTGCACTGGTAGAAGTTCGAAGTGAAAGCAGACAGCCTAATAGAAGAATAGAAATTCTTAGAACATGAAAAGCTTGGGCTGCTGGGGGAAGAGGCCAACGACCTCAACATCTAGGTGCCTCTCCGTGTTATGCAGCACATCTCATGAATGGTTGTTCCTAGCAATGGTTCTGATTAAAAAAAAAGCAGTCTAAATGTGTTCAGTGTTGTCTCACCAGACAAGAAAATATATTTTAGATGGATTTTCATCAGTGATGAGTAAGCCTCAGCTATCTGGAGAATTCACGGAGGCGACAGATCATTTCTGAGTAACGCTAGCTAAATGAGGTGTGCCGACTGCACTGTACGTGCCGATATCGGTCAAAGGCAGGCGCTACAAAAGGGAAATATGAATAAGCAGACGCCTACTCTTGTTCACCTTACTGTTTAATACATTGAGACCAATCGTCATTAAAAATACACAGACAAATCTATCAGCAGTATTTCCCTGCTTCACGTGAAAGGTTAAGTGCTCACAATGTATCCTGGGAAATTCCGCAGACTTTGCACAGCTGGGGGATGCTTAGGGCCAAGCTCTCTGGGCAGAGCCTGGACGGAAGAAAAGAACAGGCACAAAAACAAGTTGTTATAAACTACTTTCCTAGCTACACAAGTGGAATTTTGAGCTGAGGTTGGCAGGAGTTTATTGGAGCCCTTGTCGCTGGATCTAAAGGGGCGCCTAATTCAAGTCGCTCTCCATGGTAGCTCTTGTGTTTTAAATGGATCAGCTTCTAAGTGGGAGCGGTGCCTGGCAGTGCCCTTCTGTTCCGTCTTGGGACGCGTGTCAGATCTTTTGGAGATAATTGCTCTTGCCAGTTCCTTTTAAAAGATGTCCACAGAATTAATTAAGCTGGTCCAGGAAGGACAGCGCCTCCATTTGTCTGTCTCCTGCTTGTGGAAGAAAAAAGGATTTCTTTTGATACCATAGTTGACATAGGATATGTTGATTAATTTTGAGATAACAAACGCTGTCCTCCAAATATTTAACATTTAATTATGAATTTAAACAGGTTTAATCTTAAAACTCGAAATATGGAAAGCACCTCATGAAGCTAAATATTTTGATGACCAGGCTTTCTGGAAGGTAAGATTTTTAACCTATTAATGTCAGAGATTTTGAGTGAATGAACTTAAAAAGATATCTGGGTATATATGTTAACTTGGTGTTTATGCAAGTAACATAAAAAACAAACAAAAATGAAGTAAGAGCATTGGGGGAGGAGCAAATCCACAATGCACGTGTGAGTGTGTGAGTGTGTGAGAGTCTGTGTGCGAGTTGGTGGGGGTGGGGAGGTGGTAAAGGTTACTATTTCCCTGATGCCTCAAAGTCATTGAGGGTCAGGGACGAGAGAACTGTCGCTGGCCACGCGTCTCCCCATCTGGAGTCATCAAAGTGGGCAAATAGTTTGACGTGAAGGTGATCGAATCGTGCAGGGCAAGGGCCAGAAGGAGCTGCAGGGGCCAGCAGGCCCAGTCCCCTCATCTCACAGCCACTCCGAGTGGAGCCATGACTGTCCACGTTCTCACAGGGAGTGAGTAGCAGAATTGAATCTAGAACACAACTCGTGACAAATTATAGCGAGCGGACATAAGAAAACTTGCAGTGTAGGAGTCTAGGGTCATTTAGCCAAGGGACCTAGAGCTCAGACAACTCGGCTGCCACTGGGGGTCTGTGCTACATTGTAGCATTTGTTGTCATGACGGGGCTAGGAAGAAGGTCAGGGCTCATTCCCTGTCACCCCACTGCCCTCCTCCCTTTGACCTACACTCACTGTTCACAAGGCACTCGGAGGCATGTCACCTTAGGTAATCTTCCAGTTGATGCTGAGGTTGCCTGGGCAAGCAGGGGTCAATATTGCCAAGTTATAAATGGGAAGTTGGGGCCGACACAGTTCAGGCTAATGCCAGTATCATACCTTTCTGAGTGGCAGAGACAAGACCAGGAACCAGACTTTCTGAGTCCCAAGCCAATCTTTTCTCCACCCAGCATGCCAAGATACTGACCACTAAAGGGACAGAGAACCAGCCTTATTATGGGCATTGGCATTTGTGTCTATAGGAGCAAAACAGAGAGAACTTGCCTCTTCTCCTTTTCCTCCTCCTTCATCTCCATTTTTTCCTCCTCTTCCTCTTCAAACAGCTTTACGAGATATAACTGACAATGAACCGCATATATTTAAAGTATATCCATTTGATACATTTAAACTTATTTATACGTCCACGAAACCATCACCACAATCAAGATAATGCGCATATCCATCACCACCAAACAATTCCTCGTGCCTCCTTGAAACTCCACCCTGTTCCACCCCCAGGCAACGACTGAACTGCTTTCTGTCCTGTGATTAAGTTATCTATAATTTTATATAGATGGAATCATACAGTGCATGCTCTTTTTCTGACTTCTTTTACTCAGAGTAATTGTGCTGAGAGTCATGCACGTTGTTACACGTAACGTGCCTCATCTTGCACTAACTTCTCTCTAGCCCTTGGCTCTTGGCTTCTCCCAACAGCTGGTCTCTCCCAGTTAGTCCCCTGCAAGAGTTCTTGCCCCTTTAGCAGAAGCGGGGTAATCTAGTGAAAGGACTCAGAAAACGGGTCCATCCATTCATTCCACAGTATTTATCGAGCAGCTACTCTATACCATGCACTCTGCTAATTAACCAGGGATATCACAAATAGGACAAATATCTGGCTCAATTATTTGAGTTGCAATAAGTATATGCTGAATAAATGAAGGAAATCTGAGGGACCCCATCTAACACCAGCCCCTACAGTAGCAGGTGAAATGGAATGAGGGTGTACCCAGAATTAGAAGACGTGGCTCCCACCATTCTGCAAGGCAGCCTGTAGGCGCGCTCCTTGACCTCTCTTACTGGGAAAAGAATAGTAGTCTTTGTACCTTCACTGGGTTGTTTTGAAGATCAAGTGAGATAAGACCTGTAACTACATTCTGTGAAATGCAAACCACATTCTGTGAACGTGAAAGTGTATTACTCGGGGTTCAGCCGACCACGAAGGAATGTGTAAGCATAATAGCTGTCGGTTTTTGGAGGCCTATGGTTTCTGATTTTGTGCTAATTCCTGTTCAACATTATCTGATTTTATCCTCACAACAACCCTGCACAAGAGTAAGTATCCCCATCTTAAAGGAGAGGAGTAACTTGTCCAAAATGACAGACCTAGGAAATGGAACAGGAGGAATCTGAATTGGTGTCTGGCTCCAAAGACACAGCACGTGTGTATGTGTTCGGGCAGCTGCCGGAGAACAGTAATTGCTCCCCCAGTCTTATGATTTAACTTTTTGACAGCTGAGTAGACCCGTTTATTCAGGAGTATGACACAGTTTGCATGTGAAAAGCCGAATAGCCATTAAAGAGGCTAGAATTCAAACTGCCAAAGCTGATAAAGCCAGTGATTTTTTTTTTTGGTAAACCATCCCATAAGACATTTTAAACATTATTGAATGGCCTTATTGCATTTCATAGAACCAGACGGCTGGGGGTTGGCAGGGACATTCCTTCACTGGCTGCCCAGCCCATGCCTGGCACTTCCTGGCATGGGGCACTCACCACTCCCCAAGGGTACCCATCTCATCCTTGGATGGTTCTGTTAAGATGCGCTCATTCGTTAATTCCATTAAATGTATTACCTAATATATGACAGAGCTCTTGTGTGGCGAACTGGAAAGACAAATCTAAATAAAATATGGCTCTAGGTCTCAAAGAGCAGCACGTACCCATCCTCTAGCTTCCTCTAGATTAGTGGTCCTAAAGCAGACACTGACTCACAGAAACTCAGCTTAACACAATTGTTCATGTGTGGTGTGCCTTCACTAAGAGAATAAATAGCTTCCTTCAACTCTTTATTTGAATTTAATAAGCCATGGATTTCATTTCATGCTCTCCAAAGCACAAGGACCCATTGACATCCCCTTATTAAAATTAATTCCACAGTTAACCTTTCTGAAGAAAGGAACTTTTTTGCCATTCTACTGTGGACAAGCCCCTGTTCTGAGTATTGTTTGGGGCACAAACAGAAAAACTAGGGCTTTAACCACTTGAAGGACCAGATGTTTGTATGTGCTCAGCTCTATCAATCAGATGCTAAATGAGATGCTAAATAGGTAATCCTGGCAGTAGCTACTGGAAGAATGCGAGGAGGGGGAGGTCATGAGGTTGGGGAGGTCGGAAAATGGAACTTGAGTTGTCTTGGATTTGGCTAAGAGACAGGAGGTGAAAGGCATTCCAGGCAAGGGCAAGACTGTGAGCAAGAAGGGGAGAAGCTTGGAGCGACCTGGCTCAGCAGAGTGGGTGCAAAGAAGGATGCAAGGGGGGCTAGAGCCGCTTGAAGCATCCTTCAGGCAATTGGAAGCCCCCACAGGTTTAAGTGGGGAAATGATGCAATCAAGTGAGCGTCTGAGAGCTGAGTAGAGTGACAGGCTCAAGCACCTAGGATGGATTCTGAAATGAATGCAACAGGCCGAGGATCATCCATTGGCTTCTGAACAAGTATTTTCAGTTTATTTTTAAAATGATTTTATCGCCAAGAAACATAAACACCACCGTTGTGGCACTAAAACACAACAAAATGTGTTGAGTTCCTCCTGCTGTTTTATGCAAAATTCTTAAAACCTAGCCTTGTCACACTGGTATCACCCCCTGCTTCTGATTTAAATAAATGTTCTAGACACACAGTAAGGGTCCAACAAATGCTCATTCAACCCAAATGAGGAGAGCTAGCTTTTAAAGCAAAGTAGGAAAGCAGATTGGGAGCCTGCCACCAGACTCCTCCCTCTCGGAGAGGCCCTGGGAAAAGAGCATCGTTCTGGGAGGAAGATTGAATTCTGGTCCCAGCCCAGCCACTGGCAGGCCGGGGCCCTCAGGCAAGTCACTTTACTTCTCCTTTACTTGGAAAATGAGATCCAATTCCACATTCTGGATTCAGACAGATGTGGGTTCTGCCACCTCTAGCTCTGTGATCTTTCAGTGCTTCAGTGTCCCCGTCCCTGAAATGGAGATGATAGTAATGTCTCACTAGGTTGCTGCAAGGACTTAAACGAGATAACGTGTGTGAAATGTTAGCACACTGATCCATAGAAAGCACCCCATAAATGTTAGCTACTCTAATTTCCAGTTCTAGAATTTTGTGATCCAACCTCCTCAACATGCAGAGATGTCGTATGGCAGGGTGTAATATGGCAAAACCGAAGAACTCAGGATATATTCAGCTTGCAGAAGAGAAGACCCAAAGGAGACCTCAGAACAAACGCTTGAAAGACTATCTTGTAGAAGAGGAAAAAGATTTTGTCTATGCTTCTCCAAAGAATTTAACCAGGCCCAGTGGGTGATGCAGTATAAATTGCTAACAATTTGAACTATCTGCAAAATGGAATGAGCTACTTTCACATGGTAGTGAGTCCCCTGTCACTGGAGGCATTCAAACAAAAGCCAGATGACTATCAAGTATCAATGTAAAGAGCTATAGGAAATTAGATCTATCTAAGAGCTCTTCCAGTTCAGATTTTATGAAAGCACCTCTAAGGCCTTTGTGATGAGAATTTTGATGAACTTAAGTTTCAAGATCAAGCCAGAATCGATATGTATCCAAATTTTAAGAGTATAATGGTTCATCTGTAATAAAAATGTTTACTTTGCTTTTACAGTTTCATCATCTGGCTACTGGATTTTAAGCAGAAGTATCCAAGAAAAACAAGGCCTGTTTGAAAACAAGACAACTTCCTTTCATCATGACCCACCTTCTTTTTGTGTGCAACAAACACGTGTTACAGCAGACTCTTATGTACAATGAGAGGTCAGAGGTAGATTTGATATTAAAAATAAAAGACCAAAAACTTGTTTAAGCGGTAATTTCATAATAGCCTTAAACAAATGTTTGGTTTCCTTAAAGATGATGCTATCAATATTTTCTTGGGTACAGACACATAACTAAGGTTTTGGTTCAATTTTATTGACAATTCTTAGATTCTTTCTCATGCTTAATAAAGTCCGCTACCCCGTTAACTCTCATCTACATCAGGAGAGTAGATGATACCAAATGGGAAAAATTAAGAACTCACTTATATTTAGTCCTATAATGCAGACATTACATTTTTATTCCAGCAGTTCCACAAGGTAGTTCTTATTCCCTGAGCACATTCTGAATTTAACTGTGGGGAAAGATGTCACGGTCAATTGTGGAGATATATCGCCTTATAATTTCAAAACTAGTTCTACAACCTTGAGGAAATCATTCAAATTTCCCTGGTCTAGGCTCCCTCAACTGTAAAAAGAGAAGGTGGACTTCAACCTCTAAGAACCCCTCCAATTCTCACCCCCTAATGGATCTAAAACTCGCCTGAGGGATTTGCTGTGGGATGACAGCAACACAATCAGTTCTCTGAGTAGTGTCTTAATGACCAGGCAATATTCAAAACATATACTGACAGACAACTAGGGCCGAGATGGAGAAGAGTACCTCAAATTTAAATCATCTAAGAGACACTTGTGTTTGAGGAAGGGCTAATTGCAGCAAGTTTCAGGAAAGAAAACATTTCAAGCTGTAGTTCTAAAGAATGCATATCCCACAGTTAGCTGGTTCATTAAAAAAAAATTCCCATTTTCCCAAGGTGGGGACCCTGGGGGATAACAGAGTTCTAAAGAGGGACAGACTATGAGAATTCCAGTAGCTAATGTCTATAGTTATAATTGACCTTGCTGGTCTATTTTGAGCTTAGTGCTTCAGTACAGAGAGACAGTGAAAATGTGAAATCCAATTTATCATCAAACCAACAACAAAAAAATCTGTCACCTGAGTAAAGACTAGTGTCAAGTCCCTATTCTTTTCCTCTTTCCTTCAGTGGTGGATGTGGAGAGACTGTCAGCGTCCCACCAGGCCCATGTGTCATGGCTGAGTTATCACCACCCCCTTCCACCCTGAATCAGTGGCACTGAGGAGCCTGGCGGCTGGATCACAGGGCTTCTCTCTCTTACGACATGTTCACTCACCCCTTGGGAGACCCTCCAGAGCTGCTCACACCGAAATGTTTACAGAATTTTTGGCAAAACTGTATAAACCAAACACAAAGTATAGTGAGAAAGAATTCTGACCACTGAATAGTTTTTAAAAACAAGGAGATGTTTATATTTCTTTTAACATTTGACACAGAAGAGGCCACATTTAAATAAGCACATTAAATCTTCAGAGCACTTTAATTACAGTTTTGGACCTTGGATATGACAAATACTCATATAAGTTGTATCCATAATTTCTTTGTATTTTTACAAATTATACCACGATAAAGCTTAATAAAAATTACTCATGTGCAATATTTTTCTTTAATATTTTATGTTAATCAAATGTATACCACAAGATTTTTGTTTTGGCTGCTTAAATAGGGAGTTCTCATGATTTTAGTATTACACAAATTTAAGCAAAGACTACACTCAGAAATAAGTTTAGAAAATGGCATTACAAAAGAGAGGGAGTAGAAAAAAAAAACCCACGCAGGGCTGCTGTGCAGTAGCAAATCGGACGTTTTCACTGCCATAAGTCTTCGGTGCGGCCAAACTTAAAAACCAGTCCTCTGTGAATAAAATAAGAAACATCACATGACTAGCTAAGTCTGGGAAAAGGAAGAACACGGGAAATTTAGAATGGTGGGAAACTAGCAACAAAGAATACCTGATGAGTTGTAGGAAAACCACCAGGGGCTGTATCAGAGCAGAAACGGGTCCGTCTAAGGTAGGAAATTCTCCCCGCGTGCTCAACTGTGCTGTTTACCACCAGCTTCCCCCATCCTTCACTTCTGAGCACCGGAGACATATGCTCCTCTTAAAAAGTTAACCAATGCTTAGTCTGGAACCATTAAATGTCTGATTTTATCAAATTCATTCAACAAACCTTTTTTGTTTTTTGGGGGGAGATTAGTCCTGAGCTAACATCTGCTACCAATCCTCCTATTTTTTCTGAGGAAGACTGTTGCTGAGCTAACATCCGTGTCCATCTTCCTCCACTTTCTACTTTCTGTGGGACGCCTCCCACAGCATGGCTTGATAAGTGGTGTGCAGGTCTACGCCCAGGATCTGAACCAGCGAACCCCAGGCCGCCAAAGCAGAGTGCTCGAACTTAACCGCTGCGCCACCAGGCTGGCCCCTCAACAAACCTTTTTTCTTTTTAAAGATTGGCATCTGAGCTAACATCTGTTGCCAATCTGCTGCTGCTGCTGTTTTTCCCTTCTTCTCCCCAAAGCCCCCCAGTACATAGTTGTATATTCTAGTTGCAGGTCCTTCTGGCTGTGCTGTGTGGGATGCCGCCTCAGCATGGTTTGATGAGTGGTGCCACATCCATGCCCAGGATCTGAACCGGTGAAACCCTGGGCCGCCAAAGCGGAGGGTGTGAACTTAACCACTCGGCCATGGGGCCGGCCCCTCAACAAACTTTTTTTGAGTGTCAAGGTGCTAGGTGCTAGACGCCAGGGCTCTAAAGATAAGATATAGTCCCCCTGCCCTTGAGTTGCTCACATTCTTGGTGACACAATATGGTAAGTATTAGCAGTATATACACCAAACGTTAAGGGAGCACAGAAACACATGGCATTTATTCTGCCTGGAGGTGTCAGAAAGGGATTTATGGAGGTGGTAATATTAGATGAACTCTGAAGGATGAGCAAGAGTTTGAATGGGAGGTTGGCAGGAACAGGAGTTAGTGGGATGATGAAGGAAGATGTTTCACGGAGGGGAAACAGTCTATCAAAAGGCAAAAGGGACTAAAAGACTGCGGGGCCTCAGGAAAAGCCCAGGAGATCAGTGTGTCAGGAAAACGCGCCCACAGAGCTTAGTCCAGGGTTGAGGACGGGAGGCGTCTATGGTTGTCCTCAAGGCTCCGGTTTACCAGGGGCAAGAGGGCAATTATATGCATTAGGAGACGTACATGGATATGGGTTATTGATACAGATATCCGAGGCGTAGCAGAACAGGGAAGAGTCCAATATGGCTAGATTATAGTTTAAGAGACAAGGAGGACAGGGAATGGAGGTGGCTAGGGTTTGGTAAGCCAATTGACCAGGGTGGTGAATGGCCTACAGGGGCCTCAGGGGCCTTAAATGAGTTGAGAGGGCAGGTGCCAGCCTTATGCTCTCCTAAAGGGGGCAACCGGGAACCAGTCCCAGGCAATGAATGGAATGGGGCTACGTGGAGATGTAGCCCCCATTTAAAAGGAGCAACTATTCACCTCCAGCTGACTGTTGCTGTGCAGGGCCCAGGGTTGACTGATCTTCCAGTTTTTCAAGAAAAGCCCCAAATTCAGATTTTTATGTAAAATCTCTTGATTTTTTTTTTAAGATTTTTTAATTTATTTTTTCCTTTTTCTCCCCAAAGCCCCCTGGTACATAGTTGTATATTCTTTGTTGTGGGTCCTTCTAGTTGTGGCATGTGGGACGCTGCCTCAGCGTGGTCTGATGAGCAGTGCCATGTCCGCGCCCAGGATTCGAACCAAAGAAACACTGGGCCGCCTGCAGCGGAGCACGCGAACTTAACCACTCCGCCACGGGGCCAGCCCCATCTTGACTTTTAAATGTTAGCTCAATAAAACAAAAAATACTGTATAGGCTGAAACAAACAGAATTGTGGGCAGAATTTGGCTGGATGGCCACTAGCGCTGACGTCTTCTGTAGACAGCTGTGAGTTCTGAAAAACTTTAAGATGGGAAATGACAGGATTAGAGCTATGTTTCAGCAGGAAACTGGATCTGAGGGAGGAACCAGTTAGGGATGCGAACAGCTCAGGAAGGGATGACGACGACTGAACATAAACAGGGGAAGCGGACAAAACCAGAACAGGTTTAAGACAATTCAGAGGCAGCTTGAACAGGGCTTGGATGGGGGCGGTAAATGCGAGGGAAACTGAAGACAGTAGACATTTCAATGGCACATGCTGCATTTCATTTCGCTTTCTCATCTGTTTTCCAATTATCGGTGTATACTCGAGGTTAAGCGCGCAATCATAATGATCAACTTAAAACAGGTTTTGTAGGCTTTTATAAAGGTAAACACTTGAGCGTTTTGGGATGAAAACAAAATGCAACCAGTAAGTCAGCTATAATCTCTCGGAAGTATATTAATTTCTCTTCATAAAAGATTTCATAAACCTCCAAAAGGTGACTTGATCTCTGCTCTTCAGGTTAATATCAGACCTACTGCTGCAAAAAAGAAAATCCCAAGTTGGTTATCAGGGCCTCTACTCTCCAGATGGCTTAGAAGAGACATGCTAACTTCAGCTCGGCAACAGATGTAAAGTGTAAACTGAAGAGTTTCTTGGGCAACAGCCAGTCCCTCCCACACTGTCACATGGTCACCTTTGGTCATGACATCTGTTTGTGATTTCTGAAACAGTAATAGCTGTTGCTGAGACCTCTTCTGTTATAAATCAGAACGGCAGGTAATCTGCTACAACTGTTCTGACTACAGTGTCTATTAGTTGAATTTAATTTCAATATGCTTATAGTATTTTCACAAAACCTAATGAGTTTTTAGACCTACGAGGTACGACAGTAATAAATGAGAAATTAACCAAACTTGTTGCATATAAAAGTAATTCATTATAACTGATTTGAGACGACAAGTCAATGATCGTCAATGATCGGTTTCCAAGGTTTTGTGAAATGTGCTAACTACTCTATGATCTCATGTATTTCCTCCCTCATCGGAAGAGAGAAATTTTCCCACGAATCTTCTCCTCTCAATCCTCTGTTCTTCCTGCTGTGACAGAGTAATGTCCCTGCCAAAGCAGCATGTCAAGCTGGACCTTGCTTTATCCTTTATCTCTGCCAAGCTAAATGACGATTAAAATAAAAAAGGCTGCTGTTTGCTCCTCCCTGGCTGGTTTTCAGTAAACTCCCTTCCCCCCACTTCATCCTGAAGCTTTTCGTACCCCTGCTCTGACCCTGGAGTTTGGGACACTGAGTCCCCCCAGCGCCTCTAACGCTGTGGAGATACTGGAGTCGTGAGCTGAAGATGCTGGTCCTTCTTTAAAGATGCTCAAGCCTCAGCATTGTGGCTTGGAAGGAAAAGAAATCCTGAACATCAATACTGTCCCTCTAATAAACACACGCTACACTGCTCTACAAACTAACAAACGCAAATTTTATTTTGTAAGTTGGGGAGTGAGGTTTACTCATTTTGTATTTTTCAAGTACGATGTTACATTCGTTAAAACAAAAAAGGGGGAGAGGAGGGAAACAGGACTAATACTGAACAACAGTTGAAGACTCAGCAAAAGGAGAAAATGTCAGTTAATTCATCCCAACTTTCAAATTTCACCATCATAGCAGCTAGAGCCTGAACTTTGGGGTCAGATAGCCTGAATTTTAGTCATGATCTCAAACAAGTTACCTAACTTCTCATGCCTGTGTTCTCACGTGTAAAATGGGGATGATGATGATGGAGTCACCTCCAGACTCGTGATGGGGATTAACTGAGAGAGTGTGTAAAGCACTAACAGTGGTGACTCGTACAGAATAACTGCTCAATACACTTTGGTCACTATTATTTTCTGCATAAAAGTCAATGGTTTAACTTTTTTTTTTTAACTCTCTGTGTTTTCTCCACTAGTTTCAGGACACAAAGTATGACTCAAAGAAGTTGTGTATCTTGCCACATCTAAGTTCACATTTTTCTTACTTCCAAACTGATTTTATATTGCAAAAATGCCTGGTGGTGGAACGGAATAAGTGTGAATACCAACTGCTGACTATTACTGAAGGGCAATGATTAGCATTTCACAAGTGCTTCAAGTAGATGTGGGCATCCATTTCCTCTTTGGGGAAGGAAAGGAAAAGTCCTGGAATAGACTGTTCTAGAATATACAGCAATTTTTTTTTTAACCTTTTTTGGATTAGGGACTTCTTTGAAAATCTGATGAAAGCCACAGATTCTCTTTCTAGAAACACCAATGTCTTGCATACGGAAATGTCTGCTGGTTCCCCATCTTTAGAAGCCTACCCACAGAATGGAGGTTAAGAGTTCCTGATGCAGAGGGTAAAGAATAGTCTTTTATTTTGGGGGCTGGGGAGGCTAGGAGTAGGGGAAAGGGCAGGCCTTAAGTGTCCAGGAAAAAATGAACATTAGAGAAAACTACTGATAAAAATATTAAGGTTTTTAGGGGTTTTAGTAATCTTTTGTCATTGTATCAGAAGGATAAAAAATGTTAAGGCTTTTCTTCCACACCTCAAATTTCATGAACAAATTCTAATGACACCAAGGATAGAAGGAACTATAAAATGCACTCAGAAACAAAATTTTAAGGAGAAACGGTTTTAAGCAGGCTTTCATTAAAAGCAACTGTTAGAGATACAGATTTAAAACAAACATTTTCAGTGTTATGTAACTAAATCTATACGAATCACAGTTCTTCATTAAAGGGGAGGTGGCGGCAATGTTTAAAATCAATGTATGTTCCTAAGGTTGGCAGCAAACTAACCCATGTATTAAAAATATCTTTCTCAACCTCAGTCTTCATATTTTATGACAACAACGTGGGGGAGGGGCATTGGACAGGGGTAAATTAAACAGCTAAATATAGTATACGACATAAAAGAAACTATTATAAAAAAAGAATTTAAAAAAATAGGATGAAGAATAAAAAACAAACTTACCCAAAAAAGATGAAGGCATTTTGGAAAAATACAGCAATTCCAGGGTAGACTACGGCTTTTTCTGTAAAAATAATTGTAATATTTAGATGTTTATAATCTCAAATATTTAGTTTCTGATATGCTGGCAGCTATCAGTTTTCGCGCCTAACATAATTGATTCTTCCAGTAACTATGGCTGGTTTGAGTATTAAGTGACATAATACATATGACAGAGTCTAGCTTTAGTTTAATAAATGACAGCTCCCTTCATTCGCTTAACAAATATTTACTGAGTGCATAATATGCTTGGCACTGTTCAATGTGCTGAGGATACAGCAGTAAATAGGGCAAAAGACAGAAAAGCAGCAGACGGATCAGAGAAGCAGAGGGCAGGCTGGGGGCAAAGGTCCTAGAGAGCCCTGCAGCCACAGCAAGGACTTTGATTTTCACTCCGGGTAAGAGGAGAAGCCCTTGGAGGGTTTTGAGCAGAAATGATATGAGCTGACATATTTTAACAGGATGCCTCTGGCTGCTGTGCTGAGAGCAGACTAAAGGGGGCAAGGGGAGAAAGAGAAACCCGTGTGGAGGCTATTTCAGGAAATCAGGCAAGGACTGTACTGGGCTGAACCAGGTAAGAGCCGTGGACAAGGCACGAGGCGGTCAGTTCAGGATACATTCCAAGAGCAGAGTCACAGGACTTGCTGAGGGATCAGATGTTGGGTACGAGAGAAAGAGACGTGTCATCTTTGACGGGCCTTAACCACCCAGGGCTTTCGGCCTAAACACCTGGAGGCACAGAGTAGCCATTAACTAGTATGGGCAAGAGTGCCAGGGGAACATTTTGTCCCAATTTTATCATGGTTTGAAGCTGAAATTCTCATAAATTTCTACTATTGGAGCTGTCAGTGATTACTCACTAACTGAGAAACTGAGGCAGGATGAATAGATGAATTATCACCTTTTTCTCAGAATAGTTTTAAATTAATCTGATTACCGCTGTAACAGCTGGTTTGTACAAGCCTTCACGACTAGAAGGCCACATTAAATATTCCACATTACATAACTATGACCATTAGAATGGCTCATAAAGATCCTATATAAAGGCAACTTTATAAATTACAGATCTGCTTCTAATAATTCTCAAAGGATAACCTGACTCAAGCAGCCTTTAGGAAAGTAACTTAATATTCTATGCAATGAACACATTCCTACAAAAAGGGGCTCTGCATTAATAGTTATATCTGGGAAAGAATTGTCAGTAATTTTATTTTCTTCTTTGAGCTCTTTTTTTTTGTGAGGAAGATTGGCCCTGAGCTAACATCTCTTGCCAATCTTCCTCTTTTTGCTTGAAGAAGATTGGCCCTGAGCTAACACCTGTGCTGACCTTCCTCTGTTTTATCTGGGATGCCCCACAGTGTGGCTTGACCAGTGGTGCTAGGTCCACACCCAGAATCCGAACCTGCGAACCGTGGGCTGGTGAACTGGAGCACGCGAACTCAACCACTATGCCACTGGGCTGGCCCCCTTTAAGCTCTTTTATAGTCTCAGCTTTCCATAAGGAACATCTGTTATGCAATTCACATGCTTAAAAACATAACTTTTCATTTTTAAAATACGGTGGTGACGAAGATTTTGTAGCAACAACAGAACTACTTATGATATCAGGTTAAATGCAAACAGCTGGGTTCAAAATTGTATTTGTATTGTAACTACATAAAAAACACAAGAAAAGAGACCAAAGGAAATATACCAAAATATTTAGGAGGAGTAAGATTATTACAGTCCTTTTCTTTCTTTTCTACAGTTTCGGTAACATGGTTTTAGTAATAAATTATATAAACAAAAGAAAAATATTAAAAATGCTATCATTCCTGTAAGTTTAAGTGATTTGAATAAAATTCAGAAAACCCATGATTTTAATCCAAGAATTACATTTTATTCAAAGAAGCAAAGTGTTAAAATATGAGCTAGATTAGATCTCTGCTGGTCCAGTTTTTGCAAATCATTGATATTGTATATTTACTGTGATAAGCATAGTCAATTTTACCTGGAACTTGGTGGATTTCATATTTTTCTGGGGTCCTTCAAGCTGAAATTTCAGCCAGGGACCTAAGAGCAGGCCCTTTCCTGAGCTTGCCTTAAACTGGCCTTTTACAGCAGAAGCACATTGTGTTAATTTATTCTTCTATTTAAAGGGAGATGACATCATATTATCAGCGAGGCTTGGCTCGATTAACTTCCATTCTAGGATGTTAGAGCCTTGCATGGATATTATTCAGCAAGTCAACACTTGCCAAATAGCTACGCAACATATGTATTCTGCTTTTGAGGTTTTTGGAAGCCAAAGAGAGGCAAGGTATGGAGCCGTGTCTCATTCCTTCCAGGCTCTAGATTAGAAGAAAAAATACAGAAGGGATACTAAAAACAAACCAAACAAACCAAACAAACCAAACAAATACTGACAGAGAGAGGGGAGCTCCTAGGCACAAACGTACTGCTAGTAGTTGGCCCATCTATATGAAAAAAGCTTTATTCTAAAATAACCAACTTCAATGCACAATTTCAGCATTCCATTGGAGGAGAATGTAAACTGTGCCTTCTCTTACCTTTAGCAACATAACCTCCAAAGAGAATCCACATAGATGCAATCAGAGACCCAAAGGCCAACATGAAACCAATGAACAGCCAGATGCGAGCACCTTAAAAGAAAGAAAATTTTGTCAGAATTGTTTCTCAGAAGGTAGCAGTCAGTTCAACTGGCTTTTCAAAAAGAAAACAAAAACCCAGAGAGAAAAAATGTGTAGTTGCCAGTAAAGTCTAAAATAAGAACAAGGGCAGAAGATGTGCTGAGTATCATCAGTGCAGACGGCGGCCTTTTTCTTGCCGGCTGGTCTGTATTTTCTAAGTGCCTATATTTACTTTCCCCACCTATCCACACTGCAAAAACTGTACTCAACCTTCCTACAAAAACCTCACAAAACATCACACAGGAATAGTTAACAAAAAACTCCTATTCAGTGACATGTGAATCCAAACACTAGCAGATTTCCCTTTCAGGGAAGTCAGGTAGCAAAGGAAGTTCAAATGTACTGTGGCTGGCACTTAGGAAAGGTGCATTAAAACTATGTTAACAGAGGAAGACAACCATGTTATAAATCACATTTATATAATACTTATGAAGATCTCCTATAAAATAAATGGAGTCATCAGACTGCCTAAGATGAACTCTGAGATGAGTTTATTTAATTAGCACAAATACATTTTAATAACAACACTGCCTTGCTTAATAAAAGGCAGCAAACAGAATGTTATATATAAATTTGATTTCATACTCAAAACATAAAAAATAGTTCTGAAATAATAAGCTGTTACTCATAGATGGGACAGTAAAACAAATATAACCGGCTCTGGACCCCCAAGGCTGTGCCAGCTAACACATTTTCTTTAGAGATGTGATGGCCACATTCTAGTCCCAGCTCTAGCTGTTCTTGGCTTGTTGTTATCAACGCTGACTGCTAACATTCATTTATTTGTTCAGCGTTCACAAGGTGATGGCAGGTCAGTGTTCCTGTAGCTCTTCCACTTAAGGTCATCTAGGAAGAGAGTGAGTGAACCAGAAGACAGCCTGAAAGCATAGACCAGAGTTGACTTCTGCAGTTTCTCCTGTTTTATTAAAAAAAAAAGTCACTTGAAATTTGCCTATATCCATGGGCATGGGGCTGGCCCGGAGGCGCAGCAGTTAAGTTCGCACGTTCTGCTTCTCAGAGGCCCAGGGTTCGCCGGTTCAGATCCCAGGTGCAGACAGGGCACCGCTCGGAACGCCATGCTGTGGTAGGCGTCCCACATATAAAGTAGAGGAAGATGGGCACGGATGTTAGCTCAGGGCCAGGATTCCTCAGCAAAAAAGAGGAGGACTGGCAGTAGTTAGCTCAGGGCTAACCTTCCTCAAAAAAAAAAAAAAAAAAAAAAAAGAAGAAATTTGCCTATATCCAGGTTTATCTTTGTATGGATGTAATGTCTTGAGTTTATCATTTAAACTGCTTAGTTAACATCTGTCCCCTGAAATCTTTGAGTAAACTGGACTGTCAAGGAAGCTGTGCCACATGTATTCTGTATTCTGCCGACCTCAGGTACACGGCCACGGAGTGCAGGGGACATGAGCTCCTCAGGTGAGCAGGAGGGGCCTGGGTGAACCCCAGCACTAAAATTCTATTATTCCATTCAGTTTTGCAAGATGAAAAGAGTTCTGGAGGTTGGCTGCACAACAATGTGAATGTGCTTAACATTACTGAACTCGACACTTACAAGAGGTTAAGATGGTGCATTTTGTGTTGTGCATTTTAAAATACACAAAAAACTATGATTCTAAGTTAGTTCAAAATGCTAACTCAATCATATAAGATTGGCAAAAAAGGGAAGGAAATAATTTATATGCTATAGCTTAAAGTACGATCAATTCTATTTTGCACACGTATTCCTTATTATATACTGTTCTCTGCTGTATACTGTGTACACTTACGTCTACACATTATTGCACAGGGCTACATACTCAAAACTGCACATCCTGTACCACACAGCAAACTCTGACCAAATGTGACTTTTACCTTACGCCTTAGAACCTATAACCTCTGCTCAGAACACCTCCATACTAGCCCTGATCTGAAGGAGTCAGACAAGTGGCCCTTCCACATATGACCCTCATTTTAAGGGCGTGTGGTAAGATGTTGTTTGCACAAATTTACCTGTTTGACCCAGGCAACCTTCACTGTAGCTATCACCTCGGACTTGTCCATTAGATACTGCATTAATCCTGTGTGAATACAACAAAACCAAGAAATCAGGGTCTCTGACTCCAAGAGGAAACCATCCATGACATTACATTACCAGACACAGTAAGCCAGAGTTCCTCCAATTGAAGGTAAGGCTTCGAGAGTCTTGAGTAATCGATTCATATGACCTGAGGCAAGTCCCTTCAACCAGACACCCTCTGAAGCAGTGATTACAGTGCCCAGACCAGCAGAATCAGCATCACCTGGGAAGTCTCTAGAAGGAAAATTCCCCGGCTCCACCCCAAGTTTACTGAAGCAGAAACTCTGGGGGTGGGGCCCAGCAATCTGAGTTTTAACAAATCCTTCAGGTGATTCTGACACTGGTCAAAATTTGAGAGTAAAATTCTCAAAATTATATTTTGCTAAGACTGGAACAATCTCTAGCTTGGTCCTATCTAGTTTTCCATTTGTACACATCAGACATACTCAGTACAAAGGATTCAAGTGGTAAAATCTTTTTTTTTTAATCACTGATACACGTTCCAAACATAAGAAGTCTTTTGCTGACTTTCACAGACTACCTCTTTAAATTGAGATAGCCTTGCTTTCTTCAAAAGTATCCTTGGAAAACTTTTAAATGTCATGGGAAAATTTCACAATATATCAAGGTAAAAAGTTAGAAAACATATATATGTGTGTGTGTCTACCTCTAGAAAGCAAGCTTCACGAGGGCAGGGGCTGTGTCTATCTTGTTTCCTGTTTTTATTCTCAGTGCCTAGCACGTGGCTTGGTACATAGTAGGTGCTCGATAAATGTGTTGACTATATAAACTCTAATTTTTTCATAATAATATGAAGTCTTATTCATTCAAATTTAAGTTTTAGAATGATCACAATACTCATAATTATTTTCAGTGATCTCTATATCAACTAAATTATTTAGTACATAAACAAAAATATTTTAAAACAAACTTCATATTTTTAAAAAAATGCAGATGTTCTTAGGTTAGTAGTTCTTAGCTCTTGCTTTTCCTTGCAGCCACCTGAATAAACTTCATAAGCCTCTGTCAGACAGCCGTGACCCTGCCTTGTCAGTGTCAGTCTTCACTATCAGGCACCTTCTGACATGAACAATTGCTATTTGTTCTCTGATATCACTAGTTTTACATACAATCTCAGACTTGCAGAAAAGTTCCAAGTATAGTTCAAATAATTTTTTTTTCCTGAAACATTTGAAAGTTGCCAACATGATGCCCCATGACCCCAGAAATGTACACGTTTCCCAGAAACAAGACGGTTCTACAGAACCAGAGTACAACCATCAGAATCAGGAAATTAACTGGCTATTTATCAGACATTATTGAAGTTCCCCAGTTGTCCCAATAATGCTCTTAATAGCAAAAGGATCCTGTCCAGAATCATGAGGTACACTCTGTTTTCCTGTCTCTTTAGTCTCCTCAGTCTGGAATAGTTCTTCAGTCTTCCCTGGCTTTTAAGACCTGACACTTCGCTCCAGCCATTCTGGTCTCCTTGCCATAAAGCCTTTGTACTTGCTGTTCTGTCTGCCTAGAATGATCTCTCAGATATCCCCCATGATCAGCTCCTTCATTTCTTCAAGTCTTTACTCAAAAATCACCTTCTTAGTGAGGCCTTCCTTGACTCTAAAATTTCTACACACCCTGTTGACATCTCATATCTCCTCCTCTGCTTCTTTTCTCTAGCACTTATCATTATCTTACGTGCTATATATTTAATTTATTTCTCTTTAGTTACAACCTGCCTTGTTCATTAGAGTATAAATTCCCTAAAGGCATGGATTTTTCCCTGTTTTATTTGCTACTGTCTTTCCTGTACCTAGAGCAGAGCCTGGGAATATAAAAGCCTAATGAGTATTTGTTGGATGAATGAATAAACAAACCCTTAGATAGAGGACATGGTTTCTGACCTAAAAGTAAAGTTAGAGACACTGGCAGTATAGAAATAAAAGGATAGCTGAGAGAAGCTGGGAGACAGAAGTGGAGGAGGAGAGGTGGAAGGAAGACTAGAAAAAAGGACTATAGCTTTTCTTTGTAAGTCCTTCCCTATGATTTGACTTTTACACCATGTCCAATATGCTAATTTGATAATATTTAAAAAACTTTACTCAACTGTATGTAAAAAACTTTTATTTTGTGACAATCTGTGTAAGTCGTGTCACCAACAACACTTACATCAGGAAGGCAATGGTTGCTATGACGCCACAGGTGTGGTATGAGTGGTTGAACTCCTCCATCTTGGGATAAATGACGGCCGCATCTATGATGATCCACCAGCCTGTGAAAAACTAAGACAAACCAAAAAGGGGACCAAGGAGCAATGACAGTGATTTCATATCTTACTGGCTAAAAAGAAAGCAAGGTACCTTAATGAAGAGATCCTTTCTAATGAATTTCAAAATTTTCCTAAACGTTCCAGCAGTGTCTTGCATATACTTTGCACATGGCTTAATATCTGACTGAATATTAGATATGCTTAAGTCTGACAGCAATTAATATTTATGAACATGAACTTCTTTTCTACGTCTACTTCAGGCATTATTTTATATTGTCGTAAAAAAGTCTATAATCTAATTTTGTGAACTAGAAATAAATTATGGTATCTCATTGCAGGAGAAGGGAAAAAAGTGATTCAGATTCTAATGGACAGAAGGAGTGGCCTGTTGCTGATATATTCTAAGACTCCAGAAAGGTGTTATTATTGAAAATGAAAAGAATTATTCAAAATAATATGGGGAATAATTGTGGATAGAATTTTAGCTTTCCTCTTGGTGTTATGCAATCAGTGGTTCTGGGGCCGACCCCGTGGCCGAGTGGTTAAGTTCCCCTGCTCTGCTTCGGCGGCCCAGGGTTTCGTCGGTTCAGATCCTGGGTGCGGACATGGCACCGCTCATCAGGCCATGCTGAGGCGGCATCCCACATGCCACAACTGGAAGGACCCACAACTAGAAATGTGCAACTATGCACTGGGGAGCTTTGGGGAGAAAAAGGAAAAAGGAAAAAATTTTAAAAATCTTTAAAACAAAAAGCAATCAGTGGTTCTGCAGTTCTGCTTTTCCTTTTGATGAATTACAGTGCAGTCTACAGATGGTTTCGGCTATGATGCTAAATTCAATATCAACACCAAATTATAATTTATCCTAATTGAATTTGGTTCTGGATATAATCAAGGGCAAATACATAATGAAAAAACATTAATACTGCACAAATATTTTTTATCACCCAAGCAGAAACTTACAATAAGATGATATTAACCAAATTCTGACAAGTAGCTTAGGTTTTGAAAGTAACCCTCTATCTACCCCCACTCCCAACCCTGATCCAGTTAGCTCTGGGAACCGCCATCTTCTGGCAATTATTTAAAAATAACTATTTTAGGCTAACCAAATTATTTTTATCGGGTTACAGACAGATCCATACTCTATTAATGACATTTTTACTGGCTAGCACAAGTACTTTCACTTTTTTTTTCACCTTCAGCTCAAGGTATTCAAGATATTTTCTTCACAGACCAAAATTTAAAGCTTTTTTTTTTGATGTTTGTAAGAGCAAGATTTATACAGTTTTATATTTTGCCATTACTTTGGAAAAATATAGGATAATTATTTTTCACAGGTTGTAAGTGTCAGAGACTAGGCAAAGAGGAGATATTTAAAGGTAGATTCTTTTTGTTTACTTAAAATTCAACTCTTTAGCGCATATGACTACATAAGAGCATAAAACACAAAAGTCAGATGCCTTGAGGGATTTGCAATGTAAATAAGAATTTTACACTCAATTTCTTCTAAGCAATATATCTTAACATCTTTCTGCCTTCCTTCCTCCCTTCCTCCCTCCCTTCCTTTTTAAATGAGATTCAGAAGAAAGTTAACTCTGGATTATGGAGAAATGCAATCATATCTCTTGACTGATTTTGACCTGATTATTTCTCAATACTTCATGATAACTTAATGCACTCATTAAGAGGAGGCATAATCCATATAATGAATAAACGTATAAAATATACCGTCTTATTATACCATTTTTACCATGCACTTAAAGAAAAACAATCTACTAATCAAATTTCAACCCATAACGTCAACTCTCAAAAAGGAATAACTCACCCCCCTCATAAACAGTATCAACATTTATTAAAATAAATTCAGTGCTTAAAGATAAAATAAAGAGTACGTATTTAAAAACATCATACAGAATTCCAAACACATAAAAACAAACAGACCAAAGTAATCAAGGCCCAAATTATCAATGACACTTACTAGAACCCCAGCAGTAATGGAAGCAATGGTGTTGCGCTTTTCTCCCCAATCAATGCACTCTGAGCATCTGAAGCCTTCTAGAAATCCAGACATTTTTTTCAGGTCACTTAAAAAAACAACGAAACAAAATCAACGAAATAAAATACTTCTATTTACTTGCTGCAAATCTGGTTTACGTTTCTAGAAAACAGTCAACAGTTCAGGAATAATGTAATAAAAGTGAAGTTACAAATACTTTATTTCGGCTACTTCTACTTCAGAATATTTATCTGGCTTTTGATGAATTTCCACATAACTTTGGAAAAAAAATTTGGATTCAGTTAGTATTTTTTTAATTTAAAAAATGGCTTTGGTACATTTAGGTAATAGGAACAAAGGTGGGTATCCAAATATTGAAAAAGTTTTATAATGATTATTAATTTTAATTTCAAATTAAGTTAGTATATGATTTACATATTTACAGCCCAGGAGCACTGACATAGCGGAGAGAAATGAAAAAGTTTGGCTCTGAGTTAAAGCATGGACTCAGATGAGAAGTATTTCTCAGCCGTTTACACATTTTATCACAGAACGTGTTTCTTCACACTCAGATTAGGAAATTAAACACCGCACTGCAGGTCTGCTACCCACAACACTTCCTTTCATTATTTTTTCCTTCTGCAAGCCTGCCTTTTGGTGTCATTTCTATGTAAAGAAACCCATTTCATTTTAATATCTCTATCTCTCATTCTAACAGATATTTTCCAGTCAAAAGGAAGCACAAAATTTTAGTTAATGTCAATTCAGACAAAAAGAATCCGACCTAAATTGTCTTAACAAATTAGATAAAACATTCTTCCGAGCTGGGCTATGGAGACCCGGCCTGAGACACATCCATATTACCTCTACTTCAAAGTATGAAAAAACCCTGAATTATGTATAACTTGCTCATAATCAAGAAAACGCCCAAACTCCTACAGCGTATCAGGGCCCGTCCATAAAGCTACTCTGTAGTTAGCAATCATGGTTGTCCAAAAACCATGATATCCTAAAAAAAAAGGAGCAATGAATCCAACTGTAAACTCCTTTTTAAAAATTAAACATTGAAAACTGTGATTATAACCAGTGCTAATACGCCCTTAGGACAAGTCCAATTTTGGAAATTCACTCGTTTTCTGCTTCCGTGGGAGGCAGAGCAGTAACAGTGAGTGTGATTTTCGTTTCGTCGCGATGACCCTGCCCGAGTCCATTTTTCTCCGGGCCGTTCCGGGCACGCCGGCGCCGGACTCCGCCTCTAGACCCCGGGACTGTAGGTGCACAGCGTGCGCCGGGACTTGGAGGGTCAGCGACCCTCGCTCGGGCTCTCGGTTTCTCCAGCTCGAAGGCAGGGGGCGAGGGGGCTGCCAAGAACCCTGGGCCGCCCTGGGGAGGGCGCGGCCCCGCAGCCCGGCCGAGTGCGGCCGCCGTCGCCCGCCGGACACGGGGCGGCAGGAAGGGGCCAGGAGGGCTCAGCCCGCGCCCGCAGCTTCCCACAGCTGCAGGCAACGACCCAGTCAGCCTCCGCCGGCACGCGGCCCGGTCCGAGCCCTACGCGGCCTGCGGCGGCCCCTCCCCAGCCCTCCCCGCCCGGCACTCACGTGCAGCCCCGCCCGTGCAGTCGGTCAGTCCCGAGCCCGGGTGTCGCGCGCCCAGCCGCCTCGCTCGGCCACTTTCAGCAAGGAAAACAAAACACCCACAGGCCGCCGGCGGTACCCGGATGCAACAGCCCGGGGACCCAGCTCTCGCCGCGCATGCGGAGACAGGGGCGTGGGGCGGGGCACGGAGAGGGCGGAGACAGGGCGGGGCTAGGGCCCTAGGGAGCCACGCCCACCGCGCCGCCGTCTCTGCGCATGCTCGGGCCTCCAGCGGCAGGGGCGTTCCCCTGCGCTCAGTTCGCAGGTGGGGGTCCGCGGCGGTGGTTTGAGTATACCTTTCAAGGGTAGATGTGAGAAGTCGCTCTGTGTCCCAGGCTCTCGAGAGGAAGGCCTCTTGGGCCTTTGCATCTCTCTTGAGTGAGGCGGTAAGTTTTCTAGTGCTGGGGTCGGTCCCGCAGTCGTCTCAGTCCTGGGTGGCAGGAACAGTGCCGAGCCCCGCGTGGTGCAAAAGTGGGTGCGGGTTCGGGCCCCCACAGCGCTAATTGGGGTTTTAAAGTCTTGATTGTTTTCTCAGCGCCTGGCCCCGCCGTCGCCATGGCTCCGCCGCCTTGGGGGCGAGGTCACCCCCGGGAGGCGGGACGTCCTGGTGCGGCGCATGGGGTCCTGTGTGGCCCCGGTCCCGACGCGGTGACCCACCTCTGGACTTGGCCTTTTTCTCTCTTTGCTTTAAGGCACAGTTTCTCAACCTAGGCACTACTGACATTTTGGGCCCGATAATTCTGTTTATACGGGGCTGTCCTGTGCACTGTAGGATCTTTATCTGCATCCCCGGCTTCTACCCACTCATGCCAGTGTCATTCTCCCAGTTGTGACAAGGAGAGATATCTCCAGACTGCCAAATATCCCCCCCCGCCCCGGGGAAAATCGTCGGGGTTAGAAGCGCTGTTTAGGAGATAATCTAGGTTTCTGGGGAGCGAGCCTTTTCAAAAGCCGGAAACAACGTCTTAGCTACGGTAACGACTTGTGGCCAGGTTCGCCCCTTCTTCCAGAAGCTCTCGGTCCCTTTCCAGCGTCTCGAGTTAGTCGTCATCCAGGAATCGGGCCGGCCCGGGAGAAGGAGCAGGTCAAGGTCTCATTCCTGAAGGCGCCACCTGAGAAAGTCCAGGCGCCACTCGCGGTCTTACTCGCGGAGCCGGTCGAGTCCCTGCAGCAGGTGCCGTCTACGCGATCTCGCCAGGGGACAGTACTACGGCTCTGACCCTATGGTGTACCCGAAAGAACACAGCAGTTGGAGGAAGAGATCCAGGAAGAGGTCGCTGAGCAGAAGCTCATTTCGCTTAAGTGGAAAAGGTGGATGGGTCATTTGTCGTTAAGAGAGGTGCACAGGTTCACCTTTTTTACGTGTAGGCCGACAGTATATGAATAAGCTAGGGAACCAAGGCTGTGGTGTCATTTAATTTCTTTGATTTCCTTTGATGCTGTGAAACTTTGGGTTTTGGGAGGGGGGCATTAGCAGATTGGTAGACCAACTATACCATGCAATCCATAGCCTATTTTTATTTTTTTATTTTTATTTTTTGAGGATGATTAGCCCTGAGCTAACATCTGCTGCCAATCCTCCTCTTTTTTGCTGAGGAAGACTGGCCCTGAGCTAACATCCGTGCCCATCTTCCTCTACTTTCTGTGTGGGACACCTACCACAGCATGGCTTGTCAAGCGGTGCCATGTCCGCACCCGGGATCTGAACCAGTGAACCCCGGGCCACTGAATCGGGAACGGGTGCACTTAACTGCTGCGCCTCTGGGCCAGCCCCCCATAGCCTATTTTTAAATGGACATGATACTTACACCTCAGGATTAAAGATTAATTGTGACTGTTAAATGGCTCAGGGTGGAGGAATCTAGTGTAGGCAGTTCTTAATGGAAACTTTTTAGTACTTATTAAGGACAACATTATTTTACCAGCTCTAAGCAGCATTTAACAGATCTTACCTTCAGCTTTGTGACTGTGGGAGGAACAGTATTAACTTTCTTTCTCTTGGCAACTTCTGCCTTCACCCTTTTTTTACATTTACTGGCATTAACATGATTCTCAAATATTTTATAAACATAAGTGAGCATCTTTATATTGCTTTTATAATAAATTGCATACTTAATTTGTCATGCTTAGCCTTTTTGGGATAGGCTGTAGAATTAATGAGTGTTTGTCTTTGTCCTTTGTAGATAAAATGGAGCTATTAGAAATAGCAAAAGCCAGCACAGCCACATCCTTAGGAACAGCCAACCTTGACTTGCCAGTTGGTCTCAGAATGGTTCCTGTAGTTAAAGAAAGAAACTGTGGAACAGCTGTACCAAATATTGCAAAGTTTGAGGTATGCCAGATTTATCCGAAGAAAACCGTTAGAAAAATTACTGCCAGAAAGATCTGGTTAACCATTTTTATTTGATTTGTCTTAGACTAAACTTCTCAGAATGTCTAGAAATATAATTGCTAAAGTCAAAATAGCAGATCTGAAAACACTAGCTAGGCTCTCACTCATGAAAATGTGAGAGTAAAGAACTTTATTTTTGGTGACCAGCTATGCCAGATTGGGACTGTCCCTGAAAGTCCCACATTCCAAGAAGCCCCACCTGGGTGAAAAAAATCCTGGTTTTCAGCAATGAGTGCCAAAGATTGGGGGTGGGGGGGAAGATACAAAACCCATATTATGGCCCCCCAAAAAGAGGCTGAAGACAACACTGTTTTTAGTGACCGATGAGTACGGCGATTGTATGCCTTCAGTTGACCACTGATACTGGCAGCCATGATTTATGGTTCACAATAATGTATCCATTGTAGCATTCTCTCAGAGCGAGTTCAGTTCTAACCGTGAGTGTCAACGGTCTAGTTAACTGTTGTGCTTTGCATGGAGACAGTGCTAGTTTAATTTTTAACTCTGTGAATATTGTGACCATTTTTTCTAAGAGTTCAGATAATGAAAATGAGAGTACAAAACCAATGCCAGCATGACCCAGACAATATTGGAAAAGAAGACTAAATGGCTATGTTATGGAAGGACACATGCGGCTGGACTACGGAGGTAAATAATCCAAACGGAGCGTACTGCACAATATGTAGAAAAGAATTCGGGGTTGGGCATGGTGGAGAAGGGGATATGCAAGCACATATGGAGACTGAATTCCACAAGTCTGGGATGAGACAAGCAAGTACTTTGGAATCAATTCAAAGTGTCTTTGTTGCCTCAAAAGACACCAATGCTCAATTGAAAATATCAGCCACTAAATCAGCTTGGCATACCACACAAATGAACACGCGCTAGCATATCGCTCACTCGACTGCTCTGTGAGACCCAGTGAAGTTATGTTTCCTGATTCAGTGGTTGCAACTAAAATGTCCTATGGGCGAACAAAAAGGGACATTTTTTTTTTTTATTGAGTTAATGATAGGTTACAATCTTGTGAAATTTCAGTTGTACATTAATGTTTGTCATTCATGCAAAAGGGGAAATTTTGATTACAGATGTCTTGGCCCCTTACAGTGTGGAGTTGATTCTGTCAGATCTTAGCAGCAGTCACGCTTTCTACGGTATGTCAAGCCATGTGATGAATCATGGCAATAAAAAAGTGTTCCCCCCAGCTCTTAGGTACTTTGATTTGGAAAATGGGGTTTCAAATCGTTGTCTTGATTTCCATGAAGATTTTAACAAAACCTCAGAAACTAGACTCCAAACACAAGCTAGACTTTACTCGGCCATCGGCATGTTCAGCAGATAGCGCAGATGTAAATTTCAGCAAATTCCATTCAGCCTATAAACTTCTTACCAAAGAAAATGAAACGATCTCACCTGCTAAATGTCCTGCACACCTTGTACCCAAGACTGCTAAAAAGGGGTGTGATACGCTTTCCTGTGACACTGAGGCTTTCATAATGAAAGTTTTTGGTTACTTTTCAATTGCCTCAAAACATGCAGAAGAACTTAATGAGATTCTTGACTTTGTAGAAATGGAAGGAGACGGCCTCCCTAGACATACGCCTACAAGATGACTGTCATTGTTGCCAGCCATAGAAACGAGGTTAAAACGTTGGTCTACCATACAATCCTGTTTTCAAAGTGTGGGAAAAGAAGAATGTCCTTCTCTTATTTGAAAATACACTGAGGATGAGAATGGAGAAAAGGATTACAGTACAACAGAAATTTATATGCTGTTTCTCCAGAGCTGCTTGATGATCTTTGAAGAGGCCATAAAGAGTCTAGAAAAGGACAAACTGTCGGCACCTGAGCTATTTGACATTATGTGTAAGTTGCGACAAAAACTCATACAGCGAAAAAAATGACTCATTTTTTGGAAAGAAGACTGCTTTAGAACTGAAAAAAATGTCACCAGAAAAGAGCAGTCAAATTAAACAGGACTTTCTCAATTTCTTTACTAAAACTATGCCTTTTTTGGAGTCCAGTTTTGATTTCACAAATTCTAATTACCTCTGTGCTTTAAAACCATTTTCTCTGAGAAAGAGAGGTTTAACTTACAGTGACATCCGGTGTGATTCGGAATGTTCAGAAATGATGGACCTTTTAGACATGGAAACCTCCCTGATGAATTTATAGATGCACAAGACTTGATGGACAAACAGCTGGTCTACCCGAACAAGCCTGGAGATGAAAAATGGATGGACGTTTCTGGAGAGCTGGAAACAGATTCCTACAAGTCTAAAAACTTGCTGCTGCTCGTAAGTAAAATTCTAAGTATTCTGTGCTCAAATGTTTTTGTTGAGAGGGTATTTAGATTGATGTCATCACATTGGACTGACACCAGGAATCAATGTGACGTAGGCTTGGTGAGAGCACAGCTGCAAGTCAAAGAGAATTTTCCATTTGACTGTATCCAGTTTTACCACCACGTAAAAGCAAAGAAGGATGTCCTGAAGGCTGCAGGCCGTTCAGAGAAGTACTATTGGACAAGGAAACAGAAAGAGTAAAAATATCCTGTATTGTGAGACAGAAGGAGCATGCCATTGCTATTTTTAGTAAATATAGCAGTGCCTGTTTAGTTAATCCTATTATATTTATGTTCTCCTTTTAAAAAGTCATATTTTTGCATCTTAATACAGAATAATATAACCTCTAAAATTTAAATATTTAGTTGTTTAAAAAAGTAAATTAAGGGGCTGGCTCCATGGCCTAGTGTTTAAGTTTGGTGTGCTCCACTTCAATGGCCAAGGTGCGGTTCCTGGGCACAGACCTACACTACTTGTTGATGGCCATGTTGTGGCAGCAACCCACATACAAAATAGAGGAAGACTGGCACAGATGTTAGCTCAGGGTAAATCTTCCTCAGCAAAAAAAAGAAAAAGAAAAAAAGAAGAGAGGAGAGAAATGCATAAAAATATTGTTATATATTTCTCATACACTATTTGTTTAATTAGTCCTATTATTACTAATTGTCACTGTTAATTAGTCCTATTTTGTTTAAATAATAGCATTTATGTAACTGAAGGATAAATAATACAGCATATATAGTTTCACGTAAACACCTGTGTTTCATATTTTTATGTTAAATAACACTTGTGTATAATTATTATCTATTACATTATGGTATGTGTGTGTGTGTTTTGGTTTGTTTTAACTTTGTCCCAGATTAGCTCTCCCTACAATCAGTCCTTTTATCCTTCTTAACTATGGAATTTTGGTCCCTACTTTAAGAGGATTCTCTTGGGGATTACACCCCCTGCCCCTCCTGGTGCCAATTATCCTTGGCTAAAGAGAACCACCAAATAATTACTTTTGGCCCAGGGGATAAGAAAGGGCCTTGTAGACTGAACTGGGTCTGTTAAATAAAATGGAGACTAAGCTTAAAAATCCCCCAAACAGATAAAGCCAGTTAAGCCATGTAATCAAAACTTAGTCTAGTTTGTTTCATCAATGTAAGTGAAATTTAATTCAGTTTATTTCTTGTAAAGGCCACCGATAATCTTAAACAAAATCTCAATTGTCTTCTTAAAATGGTGTAAGGTAATCACTTTTAACCAATGCTCTGCCATCTGGAAACCCACATTTGTAACAACGAGTCATTGTAAAGGTTAACTTCCTCAGTCTCCCCTTATAAACCATCCTGTAATGACATGCCTCAGAGCTTTTGCCATTTCCAGTCTGAAGTCTCCCAGTTTGCAAGCTGTTCTTTTATACGCACAATAAACTCTTAACATTTTAATTTGATCTGATTTTATTTTTGACAGCTTCTGCTGTCAGAAGTGGGATCTGAAGAAGACCCCTGACAAGCCCCAAGGCCGGTGAGTAGCCAGGTGCTGGTACCTCCTGAGCCCATTGTGCTCACTACTTTCTCACCAACCTCAGGGTTCTAACGTAAGTCTCTCTTGGATCCCAGCTCCACTCTCTTTGTGTTTTGAGCTCTCTCACTTTGTTGTGCATACCTGTGTTTTTGTTCAAGCTTCTTGGTGACACTTATATCTGTAAGGGGAGAAAACTCATGATTCCCTGGGTTCCTAGACAGCAGTAAATTTCCCTATAGATACAGTCATTTTAGGGACTCTAAAGGCAAAGATTCATTCCACTTGGTCTAAAACTCTTTCCCCACCTCCCTCAAAAATTCCTGCTTCCTATATGTATACCCAACTTAACAACCAGGATCTTGTCCCTTTTTGGAAAAATGGGTGCACTCTACATATGATACCTTGGAATTACAGTGGCCACTTTGGGGAACCTTTAACTTAGATAAGATAGTCCACCTTTGGGGTACCTCTGAAAAGAGATGATCCTGAACCTTTGAAAACAATGGAAGGCATTCTTTGATTGGTATGGAGGCTTCCAAAAGACAAGTGACTGAAATAGCCTTTGTAAAGGAATCATTACAATGAGCCAATGAAAAACTTAAGACTAAAGCTCTGACTGACTTGAATGACTCAAGTGACTTCCAACTCATCCCTCTGCTCTTTATCCTCCTTTACCTGATTATTCTCAACCCACTAACCCCTTTGATCTTTTAGCCTTTCCCCCCAACTCCCTAAATCTCAGATGTCCTTTAAGATAAGACTTTGTAATGAACCAGGGATCCTAGCCTCAGCAGAACTTAAACCCTGGTCTGGAGCCAAGCTTTGAGCCATTATAAATGATTTTCCAGACCCTAAAAAGGACTAAACTAAATTTATAGAAGAATTTAAAATTCTTCTTGGGCTGGCCCGGTGGCGCAGCAGTTAAGTTCGCATGTTCTGCTTCTCAGCAGTCCGGGGTTCACCAGTTCGGATCCTGGGGGTGGACATGGCACCGCTTGGCAAAAAGCCATGCTGTGGTAGGCGTCCCATGTATAAAGTAGAGGAAGATGGGCACGGATGTTAGCTCAGCATCAGCCTTCCTCAGAAAAAAGAGGAGGACTGGCAGTAGTTAGCTAGGGCTAATCTGCCTCAAAAAATAAAAAAAGAAAAAAGAAAAAAAAAAAAGAAAAATGAAATAAATAAAATTCTTCTTGGCACCTATGATCCCGGACTACCTGATTTTTACCAGTCTGTTAACATGATAGTCCAGGAGATACTCCAAAGTGTCTTCAAGAAATATATTGGAAAGTCCCTACCTAAGATTCTGAGGACTGCACCAAACGTGCCTCCAGAGATAGAATAAAAAGAGCGAGAAAGGAAGTTGGCTGCTTCTTGAAGTAGTTCCCAAAGGTTTTCCCATGAGCATTGACTGGGCCGTAATCCAATCCTATAAACACAAAAAGAATGAACCAGTGGCAGATTTCTGAATTCATTTAGAAGTAGTAGTTAGGCAGTACTCTGGTCTCAAAGACCCTGGGACTAGTTTTGCCTTGTGAGCCTATTTTGTTAATGGACTTCACCCAGAACTCAATGATTTGTTAAAGAAACAAACTAGAACGGGAAGTCACTCCTCTCTCAGAGCTTCAACGTCTGTTTTTTTTTTTTTTTGAGGAAGATTAGCCCTAACTACTGCCAATCCTCCTCTTTTTGCTGAGGAAGACTGGGCTCTGAGAAATCGCCCAGTGGGCTACTTCCAATAATTCCTTTAAATAGCAAGGGAAATTAAAGTAGACTTAACTGGAGAAATTTCTACCATGCTGATAGATACTGGAGCAACTCTATTAACTTTAAACCCACTATGATACATGAAGAACTTCTGCGGGGTAATAAAACTATCTTAGCAGTGGGAGTTTCCAGTCGAGTTCAAAGAGTTCCTTTATTGGAACCCATGAATATTACCCTTGGCCCTTTCTCTGAAAGTCACACCTTTCTCTTATGTGATACTTCGCCTGTGAATTTTCCTAGGTAGAGATCTGCTTTCTAGATTAGGAGGCCAAATACAATTTTCCTCAGGCGAAATAGCCTTAGAATTTCCAGACTCGTCAGACTGAAGCATTATGTGTTGATTGTCCTGAGGAGACTATTAAATTCCATGAAAGTATAGATGCCATAGATCTCTCTGAAATCCTGCTACTCTAAGGGCCTCTTCTTCCACAGATGTGGAAAAAATTAAAAGTGCCAAACCCATTAAAATTCAGATTGCTCCTTCTAAACCACTTCCAAGTTGCCTCGGTACCCCTTAAAACCTGAGGCCATACCAGGGCTCACCTCTGCCACAGCAGATTTAATGTCAGAGGCTTATTATTCCCTGTACCAGTTTTTGCAATACTCTGATCTTGCCTCTAAAGAAGCCCCATAGATGGGGACGGAGAGTTGTACTAGACCTTAGAGCCGTAAGTAAGACTGATAGTGAAGCTTCCAGCGGTACCAAACCTAAATACTTTGTTGGCAAATATACCAGCAGGAACCAAATGATTTACGGTTGTGGGCTTATGCTCTGCATTCTTTAGCATCCCAGCAGACAAAGTCAGTCAATATTTATTTGCTTTTACTTGGAAAAATCAACAGTATAATTGGACTGTAATGCATCAGGGATTTTCCTGAGGGTCCCTTGTACTTTTCACAAGCTGGACATCAGGATTTAAACACTGCTGCAATTCCTCAGAAATTCTACCTTGATTCGATATGTAGATGATTTGCTTCTTTGTTCCTGCTCTAAAGAGAACTCAGGAATCCATTCAACATATCTTTTACAACAACTGGCTTATAAAGGCCATGAGGCCTCTCAAGATAAGTATCAGTTCTAACGAGAGATGGTTCATTATCTAGGTCATGACTTATCTGCAAAAGGAATCTTTCTGTCTTCAGAAAGAATAAATACCATTCAAAGTTATCCTAGACCTGTGAGGATTCCCCGGACCTGCAGGATATTGTTGGTCTTGGTCTCATGTTTTCCTTCACTGGCTCCCCTACTCTATGAGCCAACTAAAAATAGCTCTCAGGAGCCTCTTCCTTGGGAAATAAAACACCAGGAAACCTTTACTGAACTCAAATGGGCTTTACGAAATCCTCTTCATTAGAGCTCCTCAACTACACTAAACCTCTCATGTTGTTCATCCATGAACAGAACAATTGGGCTTAAGGAGTCCTCAAAAACACAGAGGGAGGGGCCGGCCTGGTGGCGCAGTGGTTAAGTTCACATGTTCCGCTTCTGCGGCCTGGGGTTTGTAGGTTTGGATCCCTGGTGCGGAGATGGTACCACTTGGCAAAAAGCCATGCTGTGGTAGGCATCCCACATATAAAGTAGAGGAAGATGGGCATGGATGTTAGCTCAGGGCCAGTCTTCCTCAGCAAAAAGAGGAGGATTAGGCAGTAGTTAGCTCAGGGCTAATCTTCCTCAAAAAAAAAAAAAAAACCCACAGAGGGAAAAAATAGATCTATAGCCTATTACAGCCTGCAGCTGGACCCAGTAGCCAGGGCATATCCAAATTGTTTAAAAGCAGTAGCCCAGTCACTAAAATTGTAGAATCCTCCTCAGAACCCTTTCAGGGAAATGATTTATACCTGCAGGTTCCTCATGATGTAGAAAGTTCACTTAATACTGAGTGTTCACGGCGTTTCTCAGTCAGTAGACTAACATCTTGTGAGATCCTGCTTCTGTCTCCTTCAAACCTGTACATTCTTTGCTGTGACTCTTTAAACTCTGCTACCTTCCTATCTTTACCCAACAAAGGAAAGACTCATAACTGTGTTGAACTGGTTTCTCAAAATTTGAATCCAAATTAGATTTACAGGAAACCTTATTGGCCAATCCAGAATTAATACTCTGTGTCGATAGCTCTTATGCCAACAATTCTGCAGGAAAATATCAGGCTCGATATGTTGTTACTACCCACCATGAATTATTAGAAAAAGGAGTTCTTCTCCAATTTAATTCAGCCCAACCTGCAGAATCATTTGCCCTGGAGCCTATGAATTAGTCAAAGGTAAAACTGTAAATAAGTATACCAATAGCAAGTATGCTTTTGGGGTAGTCCATGATTTTGGTATACTATAGAAACAGAAGGGGCCGGCCCTGTGGCCGAGTGGTTAAGTTCATATGCTTTGCTTAGGCAGCCCAGGGTTTTCGCTGGTTCGGATCCTGGGGGCAGACATGGCACTGCTTGTCAGGCCACGCTGAGGTGGCGTCCCACATGCCACAACTAGAAGGACCCACAACAAAAAAAATATACAACTATGTACTGGGGGGATTTGGGGAGAAAAAGCAGAAACCAAAAAGATTGGCAGCAGTTGTTAGCTCAGGTGCCAATCTTTAAAAAAAAAACAAAAAACTTCAATTATTACAATTGTGATAAATACTAAAAATATGAGGTACAGGAAAAGAGGATGACCTATAACGGGGGAAATGAACTGATTTGGGGGAATCAGAAAGGCTTTCTCTCATTGTTGCTACCACCTTTTTGGAAAGCAGTATGGCAATATATTAAATCACACAGATCCTTTAACCCAGCAGTTGCACTTTTCAGACTTTATCATATAACAATAAAAGTACTAGTACTTAAAGCAGCATGTCACTTTGGCTCCTAGCATGTTGTGAGCGTTATGAGGTATAACATTCCACCGAGCCAGGCTGCCCAAGAGGTCAGATCTCCAAGCCAGCCTATGGATTGAGGAAAGCAATCTAAGGTCATCCAATGTGCTCTAAAGTACTATTCAAATGGGGGGACTCATGAGATGCATGGAGCATTCCAGAGAAATCACATTTCGTTCCAACTGCATCATATAAAGGATCCAGCACATGAGAGCTTGCTATAAGATCCCAATGGAAGTCTCTCAGTAAAAACTTATCCATTAACTGTTTGATGAAATGGTCGTCGAACATGGAGGCAACAGCCACAGCTGGCTACTCTGAGCTCACCTGTCTCATTGGCCAGACTGGTTGCTATGTATCGTCCTTTGCCTATGGGAGGCACGTTGCTGTATGAGGTCCTGTTCCATTGGTAAAGCATCACAGCTTCACTGCATTGTACCTTGAAGTAAAGGTCACCTGTTGTCAGGCTGAGGATAGAACAGGTCATCTTTACACAGGGGCCAGACAAGTGCCAAGTCTCTTGAGACAGCACCTGTGATTGGTTGGTTGTTGAGCCAAGGCTGCAAAAATTGAATATGGTCAAGTAAAGGCTGTGAAAGGACTTGGAGCAGGACACAGCGTGGCCTGTATGACCTATAACCTTTGAAAAGGAAGTCTCTTACAGAATCAATAGTGTAGACCGAGTAGCATCACCCTAGTGAGTACAGGTGTGCCCTGAAGAGTTATCCTGCTGTGCAGAGGAGAGAAATCCTCACGTGAACAATATAGAATATAGATGGCCATTAGGCATATTCACAAATGTCACATTCTTAGGTAGAGGCACTGATCAGTCCTCATATTGTAATGACACCACCAGTAATTACACCTTTGTGGGTTATTGGGAATGATATTGGCAGGTACACATCTGGATCTGTGTGCTGTTCGCTTGCCTTTCCTGGCTTCTGAGTAGATACCTCAAAAGCTAAATGACATGGTACAGAATTCCTAACACCTCACCTCTCTCTATAGCGGCTGCAATGGGACAGAGTTATCAGCTTCCATGGTGATGTTGCAGATAACATCCTCATGTGCTAAGTCTTCATGGCAGGAAACAGGTGTGGTAAGCCTGATTTATTGAGGGGTGCCTCCTGAACAACACTGCAAGCCTGACATTTCCCTCCCAGAGCTTCTGACCCGAGAAGTGTTCATCGGGAGGAGCAGCAGGCGTAAAAGCCTGGTTATAATGAGGCTCAGTAATCACAGGCAGCGGACGGGTGAGCCCACGTTGGGTAATGACTGCACCAATGGCAGGAGTTCTTGAGACAGGAGTGTCACATCAGACGGGCATTTACTGGTCTTTGTGTTAACTGCCTTGAATGCTGCCCTGGTGATTGTAGCTAATGATTCTACAGCAGCACTCACAACACAGGTGTCTGATCTTTACTCATCTCTCATCTAAGATCAATGAATGTGTCTTGTGTGTCAGAAGCACTAAGCGCTCCTTTTCCTCTTGGTGGCTCTCGCTCTAGATGAGCCCCATGGCTGGAAGCACCTCTAATCTCCTCAGTCTGAGCGCTGAGCTCACCCCTGAGCCATCACCTCCGTGATGGTACAGTGGAGGTAACCAGGAGGTAACCTGGAGTGCTGCTCCAGGTCGGACATGGCTCTGTTGACCCCGCAGCCGCGGTTAGGAGCCTGCAGAGGAGCTCTGCAATGGCTCTGACATTCGCAGAATCCAACACTGCTTCCAAGGCATAGGTTTTAGTGGCGGAAAACCTGGATACCATGTGAATGGTGCACGAATGAGCAATAGGGATAAAATACTGGCACTTCTAGACTGTGGAATATTATACAGCTGAGAAGTAGAAATAAATTACATTGTTATGAATTATCTTAAAGGATCTTGATTATAAAAGCAAGTTTTGGGGCTGGCCCCGTGGCCGAGTGGTTAAGTTTGCGTGCTCTGCTGCAGGCGGCCCAGTGTTTTGTTGGTTCGAATCCTGGGCGCGGACATGGCACCACTCATCAAACCACGCTGAGGCAGCGTCCCACATGCCACAACTAGAAGGACCCACAACGAAGAATATACAACTTTGTACCGGGGGGCTTTGGGGAGAAAAAGGAAAAAACTAAAATCTTTAAAAAAAAAATTAAAAATAAAAGCAAGTTTTAAATCAGTTTGTTTAGAATGAGTTCATATTCATCAGAAGTTCCATATGCTTGTATATTTGAAAGAGTTTGGAGAAAGCTGGAAGGGTACTTGCTAAAATGTTAACATTGGTTACCTATAAATCATGAGAAAGAAAAATGGGGCCCTCTTTTAGAAGATTCCCTACCTCTAGGGAGTGGATTATTAGCTTGTACTTTATATACCTTTGGATTTGCTCACTTGTTACAAAATTAGCTTCATTAAAATTAATGAAAAAATTTAATTTTGGTAAGGGAAAGGACAATTAAATTTTTCTTAACTTACCCAACAGCATCTATTACAGTAAACATTCCATAAGTATTGTGGAAGGAGAGAGGAGGGAGGAGGAACAGGTTTAAATGTTTGGTAGAGATAAAAAGATAACCATTGAACCACTAACGGCATGATGAAGCATGGCAGAACCTCTAAATGAAGAGTGAGAAGGAGGGAAAAAGAGATCCTTGACCAGGCTGGCAAAATAAAATGGGAAAAAGCAAAGTAAAAGAAATAACAGATGATGAGGATTTTTAGGCTGCTTAATTTTAAAACAGTTTAGGATGAGGATTTTTAGGCTGGTTACTTTTAAAACTGCAGATGAGAAGCAGGCTCCGAGGACTGGAATTTTGCTTGCCCTTTTGAGAGACATTTGCGTTTGTGAAGGAAAGGGGGATGACCTTGTAGGGACCTGAAATTGGCCACCCCAGGATGTGTCTCTTTGGCATCGGGACTGTTTGGGGCTGATTGCTTTCGATAAACTGGGACAGGGAAGGAGGCTCTGGGGAATGGAACTTGCCCTTGTTGGGACACATTTACATTTGTAAGGTAAATCTCTATCTGTAAAAGGTGCCTCCCTCTCTGTACCAGGAAGAAGAGGAGAGATGACCTTGTCCCTCGAAACTCTTAATGGGGAAGGCAAGAACTTAAGTTGCTGTCTGGTAATCTCATGTAACTGATTTAGGGTGGTGGCTTCTAACCTTTCTAACCTTTACTTAATCCGATTTGATTCTTGTCTAAAAGTCATGGGATCACCCAATGACCAGACCCCACCTGCACTGATAGCATTTTAACTTGTTTTATGTTCTTTCCTTTGTCTTGTAAAGAGATGAATCACATACCTATGCCTTAAATTTAGCTCTAACCCTCAACTTGGGGCAGCAGAAGCTCTGACTGCCCATGGGCCCTGTCCCCATTCTATTCCATACTATTCTCTAAATAAAAGAGCACTACTGCTAGATCTTGAGAGTCCAAGAAATCTTTCTTTCGACTCCTTAGCTCACCGACCCCGCATCAACAGACACCAGTGGAAGAGATAAGGTCAACATTGCAGTTACTCCAGTAAATGTAAATGAGTTGAACTTGCCTATCAGAGGAAAAAAATCTTTCATAGTGGGTGTAAAAACTCAGCTAGGTGTTATTTACCTACTCAGCTAGGTTTTGTACATCTGGTGAAACACATAAAACAAAGTGAACATATAACAAGGATCCTATTCACAATCCACAAATACCATTAAAATATTTCAGAATATACCCAGCAAGACGAGTGCAAGATGTGTATGAAAAGAGCTATAAAATTTTAGTGAATGTCTTAGTTTTCTATTGCTTCAGTAACAAATAACCACGAATTTCGTGGCTTAAATCCACCCAGATTTCTTCTCGTACAGTTGTGTAGCTGAGAAGTCTCACGGGGCTAAAGTCAAGGTGTTAGGAGGGCTGTGTTCCTTCTGGAGGCCTAGGGGAGAATTGCCAACACCTTGCTCACTCAGGTGTTGGCAGAATTCAGTTCTCTGAGGTTGTAGGACTGAGATCTTTGTTTCCCTTGGTGACTGTCAGCTGAGAGTCATCCGTAGTTCCCAGAGGCCTCTCCTGGGTCCTTGCAGATAGCCCCCAACTTTTCAGAAGCAGCAACTGTGCATGGTATCCTTCTCACGCTTTCAGTCTCTCTTGTGATTAGATTAGGCCTGCCCTGTATTATTCAGGATAATCTCATCTCAAGGGCCTTCATTCTAATCACATCTGCAAAATTCCTTTTGTCTTGTAAAGTAACATATTCACAGGTTCTGGGAATTAGGACATGGACATCTTTGCGGGGGTTGGGAGGGTGGCATTAATCTGCCTACCACAGTGAAGGACGTAAAAAAAAAAAATGTAAATAGGGGCTGGCCCGGGGTTGCAGTTGTGTAGGGGTTAAGTTTGCATGCTCCACTTTGAGGGCCCTGGGTTCACAGGTTCAGATTCCTGGCATGGACCTACACACTGCTTATCAAGCCATGCTGTGGCAGCATCCCATATACGAAATAGAGGAAGACTGCCACAGTGGTTAGCTCAGGGACAGTCTTCCTCAAACAAAAAGAGGAAGATTGGTAATGGATGTTAGCTCAGGGCCAATCTTCCTCACCAAAAATAAATAAATACATAAATAAATAAATGGAGAAAAGTGTCACATTCTTGGATGGGAAGAGATGCTATTGTAAAGGCGTCATTTCTGCCTAAATTAGCCTACAAATTCTGTACATGATGGGTTAATGATAACTGAAATTGGATTTTGAATCAGGTGAGTGGATAGATGCTCAGAGAAGATTGTATTGTTTAGAAAAATAAAGGAACACTAAGATTCCTTGCACACTTTAACTCAGGTAGACTGCATGTATTCTAGAGACAAATACACCAGTATTCTGCACAAGGGCCAAATAACATTCCCCATTATGTTTCCAATATTCTTAGTGTTAACATCCAAGATTTTGCAAGTCACCTTTTGTTAGGCACACATTTAACTGATATTATGAACTATCTACAGAGACTCCTACTGCCTTTTGCTTATTCATAACCAAGAGATCAAGACTACATCATCTTTTTTTTTTTTTTTTTTGAGGAAGATTAGCCCTGAGCTAACTGCTGCCAATCCTCCTCTTTTTGCTGAGGAAGACTGACCCTGAGCTAACATCCATGCCCATCTTCCTCTACTTTCTATGTCGGACGCCTACCACAGCATGGCTTTTGCAAAGTGGTGCCATGTCCCCACCCGGGATCCAAACCGGCGCACCCCGGGCTGCCAAAGCAGAAGGTGTGTACTTAACCGCTGCGCCACTGGGCCAGCCCCAAGACCCCATCATCTTATATGCATAGTTTCACATTATTTCGCCTAACACATCATTTTTACACTTGTCAAATCTGAAATTCATTATATTTTTCTGTCCATTCACACAGCTTCATAACTTTCAGCAAAAGTTTCTGGTAGATGGGCACTGTGTCTTCTCGGTTGACTTGTGAAAGCGCTTAGAAAAGAAACATTTCTTCACTTAACTATTTCTATCATGATGCTTCCTCAGAGACGTGGATGACACCGTGGAAAGTGCCTAGCAGGCAGATCACATGGGTGGGTGCAGATTCCATGATAAAGTTTTTATTCCCTCCACTTCTGTGCATGTTTGGGGATGTGGGGTGAAATAAGAGAAAAGTGAGTTTGTACATACTCCCTCCAAAGAAATGGCTTTTGTAAAAATGCCACTCGACTTGCAAAGAAGCTCACATAATGACTAACTCTCCTTAGAGATGTGGTTAGTTCATTCAGTGAAAAGTTATTTCAAGCTAACTGTCATACTTTATTAAAAATAATAGGTTTGTTTGGAATGTATCCTATTCATAAACCCTTGGAAATAAAACAGTCACCGTTGTTGATCCCCAACGCCAAGCACATCGTCCTCGGAAGAGACATCTCAGACGTCATTCTGACCCCCTAGGTTAAATTAAAGGTCAGCCGTGGGTGTCTCCTCTCTTACCTTTACTAGCAAGAACAAGGGAGTGACAAACCTTTTCTAAGTCAACAATGCGTTTACAGAGATCCCGTGACGTCCCGGGGAGGGGCGCGGTCCGGCAGCCTGGCGGACACGGGTCAGGAGAAAGTGGCCAGGAAGGGTCCACGGAGGCATAGCCCGAGTCCGCGGCTTCCGGGAGGATGGAGGCCCACATTCTACCGGCAACAACAGGGTCCCCCAACCCCACTGTTTTCAGCCAGGAAAACAAAACAGCCTCGGGTTGCCGGATACCCGGATGGAACAGCTCCTCCCCTCCGCGCGCCCCGCCCCCCCCGGGGGCTCTGTCGCGCATGCGCATCCTGGATGCCTTAGCGTGAGGCGGGGCGCGGAGGAGGAAGGGCGGCGATTGAGCGAGAGGGGAGCCACGCCCACCGCGTCAATGTCTCTGCGCATGCGCCGGGCGCCAGCTTCTGGTTCTTTTGGCGCGTCTGCCCAGGGCTCGCTCAGTCTGCGTCCAGACGTGGGACGTGGGAGTCGTTTCTACTGTTGTTGTCGAGCAGCTGTGGAAGCCGGTCCTCGTCCTCGGCTGCGGGGGAAGCCATCCGTCGGGTCTTTCTCCGTCTTGAGTGAGGCGGCGGCGGCGGCGGCGGCCTGTGCTGATTTTGGCGCGCGGGCGGTGCAGACGGGGCCCGCCGCCGCCTGAGTGCCGGGCCTTCCCTGGGCTTCCTCCTCCGCTCGCTTTCAGGAACTGAGCTCTCGGGAAGGTCCCTCCGAGGAAGGGGAGCTTCGGCCCGCTCCGACCGACATGTCCCGCTACGTGACCGCCCTGTGGCCGGGCTCGCCGCGGGACGAGGGCTCCCCGCCCGCCGCGTGCTCGGGCCGCTCCAGCCGGCGGTCCTCGACGTCCGCGAGCCGCAGCTCCTCCGGGAGCTCGCGGGCCGGGTCCCGCGTCTTGAGTCGCTCGGCGTCCGGGAGCCGGAGCCCGGCACGGAGGAGCCGCCGCTCGAGGTCCCGGTCCCGGCGGCGCCCGCAAAGGAAGTACCGGCGCTCCTCCCGCTCCTACTCGCGCAGCCGGTCGCCGTCCCGCCGCCGCCTCCGGGCTCGCGCGCGCGGGCGGGCCCGCAGCAGGTCCCGCTCGAGGTCCCGGTCCCGACGGCGCCCGCAGAGGAAGTACCGGCGCTCCTCCCGCTCCTACTCGCGCAGCCGGTCTCCGTCCCGCCTCCGCCTCCGGGCTCCCGCGCGGGGCCGGGCCCGCAGTGGGTCTCGCCCGCGTGTCTGGTGGCGCTCCGGCTGCGGGCGCGCGGGGTCCCCGGCGCGGCGCCGAGCGCGGCGGGGCCGGTCCCGGACGCGGTCGCGGAGCCCGACGCCCTTCCGTCTGAGCGAGCGAGGTGAGGCCCCGCGCGCCCCGCGGCCGTGTGGCGTCCGTGCTGCCGTTTCATTGGTGCCTGCGATGTCGGTTCTGTGGGGAGGAGAGAGGACGTTAGCGGGCGAATAGTTAAAGCCGCGCTGCAGCTGGCGCCCGGTTTTGCGATGCGCGTTCTTTCCCCGGGGGTTAGACGTCCCCTGTGGGTGCTGAGGGGCTTGGGGTGGAGGAATCGTTTTTCTTAGTGGAGCCTTCGAAACGTTAGTGACTTAGTTTCCCCGCCCCAAGCTTCGGCTCAGTTCACTGTTGAAGGCGAAGAAGTGTGTCAGACGGTCTTTTTAAATTTAGTAATACTGTATTACTGAGCAGAATTGGGTTTTGTTCGGGTATTTGAAACAACTGACTTGTGGCATCCGGGGTAGGATCGTGGAACAGAGAAAAGGATGTTCGGCTTAAGGAAGTCTGAAAGGGGACTCAGTGAGGTATCGGTTTTGGTTCGTTAGTTGTGGCAGTGGTACCATATACAAAACGTTTCAGAAGAGCTTGATGTTTAGGACACATATTTGAAGAGAAAGCAAAAACAGTATGTAATACAGCCTTCGGTAAGGAAAACTGAAAGCTAGTTGAGATTATTTAGGGATTTTTATTTTTCTCAACAAAAAGATGAGGTAGAGAACTTTGTTTCCGTGAATATATATATTTTACGTATGAAAACAAAAGCACTTAAACATCTTTCTGTTACTGTTTTAAATAAGACCGTTATTTTGTGCTTCTGAGTCCTCTTGGGGAGATAACTGCAGGATTAATGAATGTCTGGTTTCTTTTGTAGATCGAATGGAGCTCTTAGAAATAGCAAAAGCCAATGCAGCAAAAGCTTTAGGAACAGCCAAGCTTGAATTGCCGGCTAGTCTCAGAGCGGTGCTTGTGTCTAAGGAGACTGACCGTGGAACAGCTGTACCCAACCGTGCCGCACAGTTTCAGGTAAGTATTCTACGGTTATCCAAACAGAATCTTCGGGAAGCTTCTGCCAGAAAGATCTGATTAGCCATTTTTATTTGATTTACCTTAGACGACTACTTGGAAAGGCTAGCTAAATATAGTTTGTTAAAATCAACAACAAAATCAAAATAACAGGACTGACGGTGCTAGACAGGATCTCCCCCATGGAAATGGGAGATTAATGAATTTTCAGTTGACACAGTACTAATTACATTCCTAGTTGTAGCTGGTACTTTGGTGATTTCTATGTAGTTATGAAATTTTTTTAACTAGTCTTAGTATTTATCTGTAGTTTTCATTTGTAGTATTATGTTCCCACAAATTCTGTACTCAACATACAGTGTAGTTTATCTGCTTTATTTCTGTCTTATAGAAATCATGAATGTGGTCTCCAGACATTGATGAAGAAAATCTGTTGGTAATTGGTACATGGGCAAAAGCATCAGAGGTTTAACTAATTTGAAGGTTATGTTCATACACTGAAAACTTAGTTTTTTGTTGGTAGATCCATGTGCATGCTAGAATTTGGGACACGTACTACTTGGATAAGATACTGAAGACAGCTTCTGAAACTAAATGAAAGTACACTTTGTAATGGTGGGGCATCGATGATAGAGATGTCCCTTTCATAATATATGTAATATATTCCAGATGTTTTGAGAGATTACAGAAGAAGAGACCTGCTTCACTTGCAGATAAGTTTACTATGATTCTCCAGAAATTTGCAGCATGTGCATTGGCAAATTGCACTGTGCTTTTAAGTTAATTATGTGAAATCCAATAGCATCCATAGCATTATGGTTTAAGGTAGTTAGGAATTGATGGAGTCAGTTAACACATGAAAGATGTGTTATCTAGGTGCACCTATCATTCAGACCCAGATGTTGGTTCTCTTTAAGTATTAGTAGACAAGTAAGATCTTAATTGAGTTGCTTTTTCATTTATACAATTAGGTACGCAGCTGGCAAATGCCTTAGTTCTTTGAAACTAGGTATTTTCTGGTGTAACTTGACTTTCAAAGTTACTTGAATCTGTGTCAGGGGAATATGGTACTGCTTTATGGGGAAGAGTGTCTTAATTAAGCCTAATATTGAGTCAATTTTGTTTGGGGGAAAACTCGACAGAGTGCTGTGTTGTTTAGGCTGTTAACTATATGGTTAGATCCAACTTGATTTGTGTCTTTACAACTAAATTTATATATGGTTGGGCTGGTTTTTATACAATACTGTAAGCCAAGGGTATGGTTTTTTAAAAATATACTTTTTCTTACTTGTCTAGCTGCCGGAAAAGCTAACAGAAGATGGAACCAAAAATCCCAATGAAAAGTCTTCCCAGCAAAAAAGCATAGCTTTTAGCTCTAATGTAAGTATATGTAAGCATTAACCGCTGAAAATTGGACCTAGAACATGGTTCTGTTATGGGGGCTTTTATTTTTGTTGGAAGGCTCATTGTTCTTATCTTTGTGGTGATAATTGTGGTTACTAAGACACTTGATAAATAGACTTAATCTTTTTTTTTTTCTTATATTTTTTTGTGCTGCTTTTACAAGTGACCAATACACTGGGCGCTTTCTGTATCTAATATCCACATTCTCAGTTTCAATATTTTCTCTTCTTTTAAATATTCCCTTTATACCTGTTGAAATATTTGAAAAGTGAATTTCAGGATACTCTGTAATCAGAATCTTTTAAAATTAGCTAAGGGCTTAAAAAATGAAATCTCAAAACTTTCTTGTATACCTCACTATTATAGTATACCCTGCATATGTCTGATTTCTCAACTTTACAGTTTGAATCAAGTTAGAAATGTGGTCTATACTTTGCATTTGGTTGGTGTCTCTTAGGTTTCAATCTTAAATGGAATTATTTAATGTATTTTGTAAAAACCAAATATTTGAAGTATGTACAAATATTTGTGTTTAGGAAGCTGACTTAAGAATTTGTTTCTTACAGGATTTTGTGGCAAAGCCAATGCTTCAGAAATCAGCTAAAGCTACTGCTGAAGAGACCCTCTCAGGATCCCCAAAAATAAATCTGAAAAAAAGTCCATATGGACTGTGGATACCTGTCTAAAAAAGAAAGCTAAAGAAAAGCTAAGGTGGTCTGAAATGCACTTTATCGCAAGTTTGTGTTTTTAGCATTATTCCATCCGTGAGCCATTTAGTGGTAATTGGCAAAGTCACAGTGACAGAAAAAGATGTGAATACTTAATATTTAAATGTCAGCATTTCTCTTGCAGATATGAGATAGCACAAATGGATCAGAGGTTATGTACAGGTGGGAGCCTTATATATATATATATATATATACTTATAAATGTTCTGTATAATGTCGATTGGTTTATAGAGGTGAAATTTATAAGACAAACACAGTAATTGAACTGTGTTGTATATATTTGTTAATAAAGTTCTTGTTTTTATTGTTTTGTCATTTTATTATGATAGAGTACATAATGGGTCTTTATTTAATGAAGAAGAATAAGGAGATATCTCTTGTTTAAAGCCTTGCTAATCCCAAATCCAAATCCGTGGACCGACAGCACAGGGCACTGACCTCACCTAGGAGTTGGTGAGAAAGGCTGGGTCTTATGTTCCCACCCTAGACTGGAATTGGAACCTGAATCTTATCTGTGCAAGTGTTAATTGACTTAATAGATCAGATGTTTGAACTGAATGTAAAATACCAGCTTAATGAAGTTATTGTTCCTATGTGCTAGGCCTTAGCAGGAAAACAAGTCTGCTAGAATCTGGTTGAAAAATAAAAATCCTAGTAGACTAAGAACATGCATGAGGTTTTTAGTGATCTTTTGACTACAATCTAGTTTTTAAGTATGAGTATGATTTTCTTTTCTACTCTCTTCCTCTTTTGCCACCATCTTGAACATCCTCCTAAATGTAGAAGGTAATCAGATCGATTTCCAGTAGGCAGGGGTAACAAATTAGAGAGTAAAATGGGCAGAATACTAGAGGCAAAACGACAAATAGCTCAGGAGAAGACAAACCCCCAGAGATTAGATGAATAGATTCTTAAGCGGAAGTTGCCTTTTTTAAAAAGGTGTTGAAGGTCCTAGTGAAACTTGATAAATTGCTATTGACTAAAGTTGTGCTGTCCAGTATTTCACCTGCAGTCTCCAATAATAGCCACTAGCCACAAGCGGTTGCTTAAAATTCAGTTCCTCAGTCTTTGTAGCCACTTCTCAAGTGTTCAATAGCCCTATGTGGCTAGTGGGTATCATATTGGAAAGTATAGATAATAGAGTTATATCAGAATATTGTGTTTGATAAAACTGCTCTAAAAAAAATTTGACCCCATGAACAGTGAAAATATACAATGACTTGGATATGTACGTTCATGGATATATAGTTCCTGTTAACTATCATTTATATAGCTTTGGTCACATTCTCATTGTGACCAGCAGCACTTGGTTTGAACAAGGGGAATTTCCTGGAAGAAAGTGTTGTGCTTTGGGTAGGCATGTTTATTTCACATCCAGGCTCACAACAAGTTATTGGGAGGGTACCGTCTTGTAAAGGAATAGGAGCGTCTACGTGGTTAGGTTCCTTTTTATTGTGGGGAGACCTGAGAATATTGGTATACTGGCTTGGTTACAGCAAAGTCCAAGAAAACATCAGGATTGGCTTCAGATTTGTAACTGAAAATGTGCTTAAACTGAACACCCTATTAGTGTCATTAGTTGGTGTATATTCCTTAGCAAAGTTGCAGAACTCAAGGATTTCCTTGCAAAGGAGACTTTTGAAATGAATTGACATAATACTAGAATCTTTTTTTTTTATCTACCCGGCAGTAGAAAGCACCTGCTCTGATTACGACCTGTGCTCAAATGCTAGCCCTTAACAGCTCAGTGACCAGGCTAGTCATGGAACTTCTTTAGCCAAACCCCTTTGTGTAGTAATGTGTCGCTTAACGACAGGGATATGTTCTGAGAGATGCTGCTTTAGGGCATTTCACTGTCGTGGGAACATCATAGAGTGTTCTTACACAAACTTAGTATAGTCTACTACACACCTATGCTGTACATACTCATCTTGTAGGACCGCTGTCATATGTGTGGTCCATCGTGGTGCACATGTGCGTGGCTGTATATGAGAGGTTTGGCTAGTTGCTATGGATATGTGCCACTTCTGAGGTTCACTTCTACAGTGATCTTTCTCTTCAGCCTCCATCACCATTAGCTTCTCCTTCAGCCTGGTAACGTGCTTGAGACTTCCCTGTTTCCTCTTTCATTCCTCTTAGTCTTGGCTCTTTTTCTCTTTACTACTCAGTATCCTGAAAAAGAGTATAGTTTCTTTTGTTTTTTCTGCTTTTTCTCCCCAAGTCCCCCCCAGTATGTAGTTGTGTATTTTAGTTGTGGGTCCTTCTAGTTGTGGCATGTAGAATGCCACCTCAACATGGCCTAACGAGCGGTGCCATGTCCCTGCCCAGGATCTGAACCCTGGGCCGCCAAAGCAGAGCGCGCGAACTTAACCACTCAGCCATGGGGCTGGCCCCAAAATTATAGTTTCTTTCCTATCTCCACTTTTTTTGATAATCAGTCCAAGTCCCAGCAGTCTTTGTCGAACTTGACCTTGTTGGTTGGGTGTGGCAGGACTACTGTTTAGTCTCTCCCAGGCTTTGTAATACAGCAGATAACTGATAGTGTGTGCAGACCCCTAGACTGGCTGTCATCACGTAAGTGGTGTGCAGTTGCCCAGGTGTGATACCCTGTTACTACATAATCTGTGGACAATAGAACAAGGTGGTGCCGATTGTAAGAAATTATGCCAAGAGACTAGATTCAGTGCTGTCCAAAAGAAAGAGCCACATTGAAAAAGGTAAAAGGTGAATTATTTACCCTAGTATATCTAAAATATTTCAACATTTAATATAAGAAATATTGTGATATTTTACTTTTTTTGGTACTAGATACTGTGATCCAGTGTGTACCTTACACTTTAAAACACACCTCAGTTTGCCCTAGCCACATTTCTTTTTGTTTTGGAGGAAGATTAGCCCTGAGCTAACATCTGCCACCAATCCTCCTCTTTTTGCTGAGGAAGACTGGCCCTGAGCCAACATCTGTGCCCATCTTCCTCATGGGGTGCCTGCCACAGGGCCTAGGTCGACACCTGGGATCCAAATTGGCGAGCCCTGTGCTGCTAAAGCGGAAGGTGTGGACTTAACTGCTGTGCCACGGGGCTGCCCTCCCAGCCACTTTCAAGTGATTGACAGTCGTATATGGCGGGTGGGTACTGCTTGGGAAAGCACACTCCTAGACAGGTTCAGGTGTCATGCTCTGCTTTTTCTTAAGGTCCCCAAACTGACTAGAAGCAGCCATGCTTTCTGACCTCACTGCAGCATGTTGTCCTTTGGTTTTCTTGGCTGAAAACATCTATGAAGCTTATCTGGTAAAATAAAACTTGTTCTTATGAGTGCTCACCTTTTACTGTTTCTCTATGGAGTCCTTTCTCAAAATGTTCTCATTCAGGGATTTACATGCATTTGTCTTTTTTTCTTTAACCTCTTCGATTTTCTACACTGTTTGTCCTTTGCCCACTATTAGGATTCTGTCCCTGACTTACTCCCTCTACAAGCTCTCTTGCCAGTTTCCTGCACTTTCTTCCCTTATGTACCATCTACTAACTAAAGATTACCGGTTTTCTGAGCTCATTTCCAGTGCCTTGCCCTGGCTCTTCAGAATGAACCGTTCATGTGCTGAGCTGCTTGTAGTATTGCCTGTTTGAATTAGTGGCTTTGCCATCCACGCAGTCATCTTCAGAGTAGTCCTCAAATCATACCAACATCTGCTGTTTTGGTTGAAGCTGCGTGGCTGCTGGGAGGGCTTTTCTCTGGAGAAATCCTGTTTTTCCTTGAAACCCCGGTCAATATGATCTCTGTGAAACCTATTCCTCTGAATCTTTCCCTCCCCTCCTTTCTTTTCCCTTAGTACAAAGGTATTAAATGCTTCTTTGAAAATAGTGGAGAACAAAACTATGGGGGATTATTACTTTGATAAGATTGGGCAACATAGGTGTGTATTTGTCTCAAATTACTTGAAAAAGTAAGTCAAATTACCACCTCTATTTCCATTCCCCAGAGGCAATCACTGTAAATACTATGCTGTACATCCTGGATTTTTTTTCTATGCCTATACAAACCTCTTTCTATAGATCTGTTATGGGCATCTTTTCATGTTAGTATAGATCTGCCTCATTCGATAATTGAATGAGTGTACCGTAATGTTAAAATGTCCCTATTCACAGAACATTGGCTGTCTTTATCAATGGCACTTATATATATTACCATCTTCATCAGCCCATCATTCAGTAAGGCAGAGCTTCCTACTGGCGTGCCCACCTTATTTATCCCAAACCTGGTCATGTCTTTATTCACATAACATGGCACAGGCAGACAACCTGCTTCACTTTTATGGGATACTCCTGACTTCAGGTTTTCTGTCCTATATTTCTCATAATTACTACTCAAACCACATGTTCTAATTTTTTGTTCCAGTTGAAATAAGGTTAAAATGCCAATTAGGGCTTTTTTTAATACCAAATTGTATGATCTATGTTTTTTTTTATTGAGTTATTGATAGGTTACAATCTTGTGAAATTTCAATTGTACATTAATGTTTGTCAGTCATGTTGTAGGTGCACCACTTCACCCTTTGTGCCCACCCCCCACCCCACCTTTCCCCTGGTATCCACTAAACTGTTCTTGGTCCATAGTTTTAAATTCCTCATATGAGTGAAGTCATACACAGATTATCTTTCTCTTGCTGGCTTATTTCACTTAACATAATTCTCAAGGGCCATCCATGTTATTGCAAATGGAATGATTTTGTTCTGTTTTGCACCTGAGTAGTATTCCATTGTATGTATGTACCACGTCTTCTTTATCCATTCGTCTGTTGATGGACACTTAGGTTGCTTCCGCGTCTTGGCTATTGTAAACAGTGCTGCAATAAACATTGGGGTGCACAGGACTTTTGGGATTGCTGACTTCAGGCTCTTTGGATAAATACCCAGTAGTGGGATGGCTGGATCGTATGGTAGTTCTATTTTTAGTTTGCTGAGGAATCTCCATACTGTTTTCCATAGTGGCTGCACCAGTTTGCATTCCCACCAGCAGTGTATGAGGGTTCCTTTTTCTCTACAACCTCTCCAACATTTGTTGCTATTAGTTTTAGATATTTTTGTCATTCTAACGGGTGTAAGGT